CTGGGTAACCCAAGTAGCTGACACTGGCTGTGGACAATTTAGACACAACCTTGACAATAGTATAACATATATTGACTATAGCTCCTTGGCTAGGCCACTACAATGTGCTGTAGCCCGCCTCTGTCTTGGCCATGCTGGTGTAGCTGCTCACCGTGCACGATTTGGGATGGCAGCAACTGCCAGTGGAGGACAATATAGCTCATTTCTTGTTATATTGTACAAGATTTACTGGTCCAAGAGCACTCTTCATGAGTGCAGTGATTGCTCTGGGGCTTCCTTGGGGGCTGCAGGCAGCCCTAGGAGCAGGCGTCACCAACCAACAGCGTCATCAGATATTCTCATACCTGCAGCAATATTTGCAGCAATGTGGAGTGGTTGCCCTGATGTAACCTGTGTCAAAGAAATTAATTAAGTGGATGCTCTCCCTGTTGATCCTTTTTTTTTGTTTTTTTTCCTTCTGATTTATTTATTTATTTATTTTTCTCAATGCCATGCATGTTCCAATATTGCATGTTTCTCTTGTTCTTGCTGATAAGGGTAATTAGTATGCATGCTGCACTTTAATGTCTTGATGAAACTCTGCACGCCATCTCCATTCAGCATTGTGACTCATTTTGCATGGGCTTGCATGTTCTTGGAAATTTGCATGACAAACTTACTCTCTGAGGTTCACACCTCTGAAGCATGAAAAAGTCTCCTGACCTTGGGTGCCTGCTGCATCCACATTCTTACCCAGAGCTCTCTAGCTTGGGCTTGGCCCAAGCCTCTTCCTTTTATCCCCAACTAATGACTGAGATCAGGCTGGGCAGTGCAAAAGCACTCAAAGCCTTTAAACCTAATTATAAAAAAAAATGCGATCCGACACACGACTCAAGCAGCAAGTCGGCAGATCTTGCACTTACCTCGCACTTTGCAGCTTGTCACTTTAAATTTAAACGTTTAAAAGTGTAGAGAACTACTATTTGTAATTTTGTAGTTTTCCATGACCATATAATGACTACAAAACCTTGGAGCTTGGATCACAATAAAGTTGTACTTTAAGTTTAGTTTTATTAATAAAACCCACCGTTTCTAATGAAGGCCAGTGACTTGAGTGCTGTGGCAGTGGTTATGACAGGATGCATGCCAGAGGCCAGCATTGCCCAAGACCAGCATATCTTGCATCCTCCTTTCCGTGCGTAAGCCTGCTAAAGGGCAGAGTAGACTAAGGGATTATATGTTAAAAGCCAATAGTACAAAACTACAAATCCCCTTCATGGAAATTAACCAGCGAGCTAATGAGAAGTAAGCCACCAATACAATCGCTCTACGCCGTATTGAAAACTGTCCAACAGCTCTATCCCATGCCGTCTAACCTAATCATGATTTTTGGTAAGCAACTCCCTACGCCATACCACTGTTGATACACAGCCAGCACTCCAGCCCGTCCATTCATCACAGCTGTTTTCCCCCGGCATAACTCTACCTCCACGCATACCCCGTCTCCCCACCTTTTTTCACTTACTGCCAGACGGCTTTTCTTAGTTTCTGCTCACTTGACTGCATTACGCTATGAAAAGAAGATCTATAGAAGTTGCAAACTAACCTAACCTAACTTAACCTAACCTAATTTGGATAAGCATCAAAGGTCTGCAAGAAAAGCCTCCAGTTAGTCATGCAATAATGGTGCAGTCGGTGTAAGTGTGGGGGGAAGAGAAGATACTGGGGGATAGTAAGGCAGGGAAACAGTGACGCCGGGTTAACGTCTTGGGGATTAAGTAAGGTGATGACGCATTACTGCTTGGTACAGTTCACATTTGCGACAATGCAGTGTGGTCAGCGGACACTTGGGATAACAGCATGTGTAAGAAGTGATGGTATGGGTTATAAAGCATTGGAGAACAACGTATTGACCATTAACTATGTGGGGTAGCAGCTTGTGTGCTGAAGCAGTGTTGGTTTAAAGTTCGTGTGGTGAGATAGGTCAATTGACTACAGCTGCTTAGGTGTCAGGATGACAATATTTATAGCATTTAGATGGTTGATGTTGGCTCCAGGGCTGATTTGAGCGTTAATTTGCTGGTCTACGGCTGCGCACCTGTTATGACTCAACCTGCTGCTGCTCTGTTTATCCTCAGGTGCACCGTGCCTAGGAGGACACCATCTCACACTTCATGCTCACTTGTGTGTTAGATTTGCAGGTCCTAGAGCAGTTCTTTAGTGACTCCTTACTGGCGGCTGCTGCTGCATTGGCTAACATTGGTTGGACTAATACCGTCAAGCGTCAACTGGGCACTGGGGCTACTCGGGAGTCAGGATGGGCGAAGTAACTCGGGAGTTGGGACAGTCCTCCGACACGGTGTAAAACTGTTGTAGCAAAACTAATGGATTGTAGCAAAACTAATTGTAGCAAAACAATGTAGCAAAACTAATTGGAATATTGCAAAACTAGATATAGTGGCATAAAGTCGTAAATGTCAACATTTTTCCGATCTATGTAGTATAAAGGAAGCTCAAAAATAATACATTTAGCTACTAGCTTTGAAAAATTCCTGAGTAAAATGGCAAAAAATGATATTTTGAAAAGTTACTTCTGCTAAGGTCTGTAGTAAAAAAATATTTGCCGTATTAAATAATTTGGCTTAGAAAAAAGTGGCAGACAAGTGTCAGCATGAAGACCTTATTTGCGGAATTTACATTACCTCAATCCCAAAAAAATGGCCATTTCCACACGGCAAGGCTACTCAGGACACCCCTCCCAAGCGGCAGCCCGGGGCTATTCGGGACACTCCCAAAAACGCATTTAGAGTAGAACCTCAGTTAGCAAAGGCTCCAGACTTCCAGTGTCATGTTAAGAAAAAAGTAGATTAAAAACAAAGAATATTGATTACATTTACCTCGCTCAGCGAAAAAATTTCACTTATCGAAAAATTAGTGCATCGTCTGATCATCAGTCATCACAAAATGGTGCATAGAATGTCATATATGGTATAGAATTGTGCACCAGGCATCATAGAATGATAAGTAATTGACCTAAACTATGATTTATTTCTCCAAAACATACAATGGTTGTCACTAAAACATTTCTTTCTGTTTCAGGTATGTTTTTCACAATCTTTTTTTATAGTAAATTCACTTAACCCAATTAAAATGATGTGAAATTACAAGCCTTCCTGTAAGCTTACAGATACGAAAAAAATGTTATAAGGCTGCTGATATGAAGCTTGCAATGGACAAGGTTGTTGTAAATGCTCAATGGCATGTTCATGGATATGGTAATATCCCATCAATAATACGATAATGTCACATCAATAATACGGTAATTAATGTATATGGCAATATCATATCAATAAAGGAAAAACAAGTAAAAATCACAGAAAATGTCATTTATTCTACCTCTACATCATCTACAATGAAAGAGGAGGACTTCAGAGTACTGTTAGTAATGGATGAGTATGCTCTGCATGCTTCAAATGTTTTGAAATGAAGTTTTATTCCCGTTGTCCCGAGTAGCCCCAACCGACGGGGCTACTCGGGACAGTCTCTATTTTGCGTCTGGCACCTTACGAATAGCATATGGAATTTTTTTGACAACGCCATTCGATAGCCCTGCCAATCAGCTATAAAATGAGACTAAACTTGTTTATGAAATGTTTCATCGTAAGAAGTTATTAACTGTTATTTAAAACTAATCGTTCAAATTTGTCCCGAGTAGCCCCGGTTGACGGTATGACATTCTATGCACAATTTTGTAATGACCAATGATGCACTAATTTTTCAATAAGTGAGATTTTTTTGCTGAGTGAGGTAAATGTAATAAATATTCTTTGTTTTTAATCCATTTTTTTCATAACTGGAGCCTTTGCTAACTGAGGTTTAGGTTCTACTGTAAATGCTTTTTTGGGGGTGTCCCGAGTAGCCCCGCCATGCGGAAATGACCGCCATTTTTTTTATTGAGGTATGTAAATACTGCAAATAAAGTTTTCATGCTGACACTTGTCAGCCATTTCTTTCTAAGCAAAATTAGTTAATATGGCAAATATTTTTTTACTACAGACCTTAGCAGAAGTAACTTTTCAAAATATAATTTTCACCATTTTTCTTAGGAATTTTTCAAAGCTGGTTTATGTAGTATTTTTTAACTTCCTTTATACTTCATAGATAGGAAAAATGTTAATATTTACGCCACTATATTTAGTTTTGCAATATTCCAATTAGTTTTGCTACTAAAACAGTTTTACGCCGTGTCGGAGGACTGTCCCGAGTTACCCCGCCCGTCCCGAGTAGCCCTGAATGATGGTATATATAGCAACTTGTTTCTCCATGTCAAATTAACAGAAGGAAGTGTTATTATGTTACTGTCACTGTTTAAACATGCATGAAGCAGTAATATAATAAAACTTTTTTAATTGCCTCAGCTTGCTCTGAGAGCTCAAGTAGCCCTACTTTCAGCCTCTATCAATGCTATTCAAACCTATAAGCTTGTTAACCAGAGTTACCAGCAATTGGAAAGGTCAAGAAAGTGTTGTTGAATTGAAATTGACAGTAAAGAGCAAATGGGAACAATTATCAATCATTGGGCATGCTTGAATATGTTGACTTTGATGTTTGGCCACCTACACCGGTCGAGTTTTTTAGTATAATTGCATGGATCAGAGATAATTCTCCAAAGAGGGTTACAAAAAGCTATTTATGTTCTTGGATACAGGCTGAAAAGACTACTCTACACTACACTGGCTACAAGTGTAGCCAGTGTCTAGGTACAATCAATGCTAACATTACACATTGGATCAATAATTGAAACCATTTCAATGTAAGAAGAGGATAATTTCAGATGAGATACATAATTTTTAAATTAGAATGGTATGCATGCCCCAACTGTAAGTGTATATGTATAGAGTGAAATGTATCTTTGATAACTATTTTTATTGATGAAAACTTCTACAATTCTTTGCAATGTTTCAATGTATGAGAAACTTCTAAAAACAAAATTTCCTTTTTTTCAAACTACACCAGCTTTTTTAAACAAATAACTAATACATATATGGTGAAGTTTCAATGATGGAGCTGGAAGATAGTGCAAAGTGTACCCCACAGCTTGTATGTTTCAGTCAAAATCATGGCAACAATGTCATATTGCTTGAGAATAACACTGTTGCTTACAGGTGAGTAAAACTTGTTGCTCATAAGAATTTTTAACTAGTTTTTATGCGTTTGATCATTAACGTACTATATTCACCTATAGAAATATTGTAAATCATTCACTATCTTTTGGCACTATCTGTCAAGCTATTTTATGTCAAGCCAGATTTTGCTAGGCATCTGAATTTCACTATTTAATTCCATTATTATCAGAAAATAGATGTACTAAAGAGCAACTGCTCAGACTGCAATTTAGCTAAGCAGTTGAGGTTTTTGTTCTTTATTGGAAATTTTCTAGTGCATAGAAGTACCATATATCTACTACTAGTATATGAAATGAATGACAAGTTGATTTTTGTGTCTATCAGTGCAAACCAGTTCATTAATTACTACTTTTAACTCCCAACAGGAAAGCCAGCTTTGCCAATGCACTGACTCTATCTCAGCACCCAGTATTGCCAGGAGAACTTTTCCTTCTTGAGATAGAACAAACAGAGCCTGGGTGGACTGGACACATGAGGCTCGGCCTCACTCAGCTTGACCCCACATCCCAGCTGCCGCTGTACTCCTTGCCAGATCTATCCAACCGAGGTGGGTCTTCCATCAAAGTAGGTATATTCCCCCTACCTCTCCGAAAAATTAGGCTTTATTTCCTCTTGATTAAAATGCATAAAATTGTTGTGGTAATGTAATGATTTCTGTTCTTTATTCATGTGAATCTTGATCTGGTTTACTTTTAGTCCTTGTTTGGGAAATGAATAATATACAAGTTCAACATACTAAATGCAAGATGATGCATTAAAAAATATAAATAAATAAATAACTTCAACTGAGAAATACGCATGCAACTTTAGCCTATTGAGTTTCTTGAATTGCATATTGAGTTTCTTGAATGTTTTATTTTACTGCTTATTTATTCTTTGGTTGATAAGAGAGAATGTAAGGAGGAATGTAAGATTTATTGAGCTTTACCTTGCACAGCAAAAAGTTATTTGTAGTAATCTCATTATTCATCCAGAAAATGTTTAATTAAGTCTTTATAAATATAAGATGAACAAGTTTCATCATGACTGTCCCAGTGTTTGTAAATTCCTTCATTGTATATGTCAATTATTTGTAAGGCAATTGTTTTACCACTTGATGGCCAAAAAAGTTCAAATGTATAATTTGAAATTCCTTATAGAATGGAATGAAAATGGTAAGTTAGGTAATTTTTGCATTGATGGCTTCTTAATTTTTTTATACTTTTTTCATTTCTTTCTAGCCCAATAGGTACATACATGACATTTATTTTCCAAAATGTGTAATTTTGTGGTATGGTTTGCAGAAGATTCCTGGATCTGCGCTATCACCAAGCATCACAACCGTTTAAGTATTCGTGACGCTGGCAGCAACAACCACTTATCCCGAAGACGATGTTTAGGTCAACAATCAACTTTGTTGAATGGTGCCAATCTGAACAGTCTCTCTGATGGTACTTCATTTCCTGAAGAAACTTTGTCTACTGGATCATCGCGCCATTTAACCATTGAGTGTAATGGCTCAACTTCTGTCTCAGGTTCTATCAATGGAATTGTCAGCAGCATTGCATCTGTCAAAGCTAAAACTGATAGATGTGAAATTTCTTACGAGCCTTCTAGCTCCTGTACTGCTGGAAGCAGCTCGTGTTCTACAGTCAAATCTAAAGTGTCTTCAGTCAGTTTAGCCTCTACTGCTCACAGTTCAGAAGACCATTCACTTTCATCAAATCATGAACAAAAATCGGCTCTTGATGAGCTGAATGACTATTTTGTTTATGGGAATGGCCATGTGGATGATGATACTGAGAATGATAAAGAATCAGACAGTAGTAGCTTGAGCTCAGGAGAAAGTGCTACTCGCATCAGTAACAACATTAAGGAGTCAGTCAGACAATTGCTTATGAAATTAGCATTAGAGGAAAATAATTCGGCTATTAATGAATCCAGTGTGATACCTTCGTCAGACTTATCTGCAAACGGCTTTGACAAAACGACTTGTTCTAAATGTTTATTAAAAATAGCTAATGGCAAAGATGCGGAAAGAACTCAAAATGAATTTAGTGATTTAGTTGCTAGTAGTTCTTTTTCTGAAAGCCATTGCTCCCAATGTGCCCTGTTTGGTGTAGGGCAACAAAGTTTAGCTGTAGCTAGCTTGTTAGGTACGAGAGTAAAAAGTAATAAGTGTTGCAATAGCGATCCTTGTAGTAAAAGTTCATATGATAGTTCTACTGCAAGTGATGATCTTGACAAATGCTGCGTTTCAAATCAGAATATCAATGAACCAAATTCAAGATTTTTTTCTAGCAGGCTTGAGGACTGCAATGATAATTCACTGGCAGTATCTCCTAGATCAACACGTCTAATAACAACAAGTAATAACTTGACTTCTCAACGTGAGGACTGTTGCAGCAATCATATGCATGGAGTTGTCAGATCTGAAATAGAAACCGCAAGTGCTGTTGAAAATTGTACTGTAGCTGGTGGAGAACTGGATGCAATGCAAGATGTTGAATACACAAATGGAGAAGAAGGTTACGATGAACAGCACCATGAGTATGTGAGTTGTCTGACTCGTCTGTCTGTGGGTGACCATCACATCAGAACATCACGAGGCCTCGTGCCACGTTCTGTTCTCTTGCCATCTTGTTTCTCCAACTCTGCAGAGGGCTTCTCAGGCCAGCTTCCTCTGGCCACCGATGAAGGAAGCAGAATTGGTCTCATCTATTTACCACAGGTTTGTAAGTGAAATGTCAAACAAATAAAATCTTTAAATTTATAAACATCTAATCTTGAATTGTGGATATGAAAGATGTCGAGTTCGGTAAGCTTATCTTAAATTTTACCATGTTAAAAATCTGCGTGAATGACTGATGAGAACATTCAGAGACCAATACCACGTCATGACGCGTATTATATACAATACCACGTTCATATAATTGCCAGGGAGGTGACTATGCAGAGATGCATTATATCATCAATGGAGAAGATCAGGGGATCTTCACACGACTTCTTCCTTACAAGGATGCGCCGCTCTACGCCATTGTTGATGTATATGGCACCACCAAACGCGTGCGCATCATTCAGCTTTACGAAAGTGAGTTATGCTGCAATGTTTAACACTGTTGTATTTACGAAACTATTCGCCAATTTCTACTGTATATGATTGTTTAAGACTAAGGCGTAAGTCATTGTACAACTTGATGAAAATGAGTTGTGGAATTATATTTAGTAATGCAATATTTACCAAAAACACTTGTTAAATTTTCGCAGTATATGATTTTTTAAGAATCTGCCATAAATGAGGAACTTTAGGCCTATAGAAGCATCCATAGAAATTGAACCAGTTGATGCTACACATTTATTTCTTATCACAATTCGGGTCACATTGTGTTGGAGTTCTATAATCAGATAATACTGTGTGAGCAAGTTATTCTATTAATTAGTAATTATTATTTAGGTAATTAAGAATCTATTGGTCAAAGATTGAGTATTATTTATAAAATGTAAATGCTTTGTCTTATTTTATTGGCAGCAATGAGCCTGAAGATGGCATGCCGCTCTGTCATCCTGCAACGGCTCGTGCCTGAAGACATCCCCCTCCTGCCGCTGCCGCCCCAGCTGCTGCAGTATCTCCTATCCTATGACGCCTGACCTTCTGTCCTCTCTTGCCTGACCTTCTGTCCTCTCATGCCTGACCTTCTGTCCTCTCATGCCTGACCTCCTGTCCTCTCATGCCTGACCTCCTGTCCTCTCATGCCTGACCTCCTATCCTATGATGCCTGACCTGTCCTCACTTGCCTGACCTTCTGTCCTCTCATGCCTGACCTTCTGTCCTCTCTTGCCTGACCTTCTGTCCTCTCATGCCTGACCTGTCCTCTCATGCCTGACCTCCTGTCCTCCCATGCCTGACCTCCTGTCCTCTCTTGCCTGACCTTCTGTCCGCTCATGCCTGACCTCCTGTCCTCTCATGCCTGACCTCCTGTCCTCTCATGCCTGACCTCCTGACAATCCTTTCTTGTGTCCTCTAAACAATGCGGGTTCCTCTTACTTTCTAGGATTGGTTCCTTGCGATGTCCGGTCCAATATTTCCCTCTGGTGTCCTGAAGAAATGAGCAAATAAATGGATTGAGCAAATAGAAACCTGTGTCATGTGGATAGGAAGTGACGAATTGCCGACTGAGAATTGGTGCATGATACAAAAATCGTCCATATTAAAACCTTCGCATTGCACGAACAAAAGTAAAGATCGTCACTGTAATTTTCGTGGTTGTCCTGTTTTGGTCCCCATTTTCACACGGCACGAGGACGCGTGGTATCTAAATACAGCAGCCCAGGGCCCATACTTTCAAAAAAATTTAAGAGATCATAAGTTCATCAGCCAATCATTGACGGCCTTTCAAGCAAAATCCACCAATCGTAGACAAGAAAATAGAGCGTAAGTACTTACGTTCACTTTGCGAATTTTGAAAGTTTGGCACCAGATCAGTAGAAAAAAAATCATATTTTGGACATGAATTGCTTAACTGAGCTGGTGGCGATCACAAATTATGGGACGATTTCTTGCAAGCTCTCATGATTCTTGATTAAGGTGTCAGAAAAGTAAAGTAGGTTCACATTGTGTTGAAATTCGCAACTTTTTCCTACGAAAAGATGAGTGAATCTTATCTGGATTGCCAATAGTGCCATGAAACGATATTTAGCTGAAACCTGTAACCAATGTTTTTGCCTCCAACGCAAACGGTAGATATTAAGGGGACCGGCTACCCTCCGGAAAAACTTCTACAGTTATTATCCGATCAATATGAAACTTCGCATACATATGCAAAATGTAAATATAAGAACATTTTGCTCGTATGAATTTTTCGAAAAAATATATAGAAAACGTGAAATTCATAGAAAACGGCTACGCTTCCCTTTAAAGAGACGTCATGAACGTAAATATTGGCGTACAGCGATGGCAGTGGTACCATTGGAAAGAGCAGAATTTCAGCTTTAAGATGAGCTCAAAAACCGGAAAAGCCAAAATTGAAAATTTTAGGGTAGCCGGTCCCCTTAAGAGACGGAGAAATGATGTCTTCTTGGCAGTTAAAATTTGTCAAAAAATGCGATTAAGGGTTTACCTACGTCACTGTTCAAACTTCGAACACTTGTATGAAATCAAATCAGCTGCTAAGTGTTTGCGATTAGTATCGGAGTTTTATTGAAACGAGTTTTCCCCAAGCTTTTAGATTACTTCATTAACGACCTTTTATTTTGCCTGGCTGAAAGTTCTTGTTTTAAAAGCTGGCATTTGTTTGTTTAATTATTGATATTAACTAATATTTATTTGTTTTGAATCTCTACTATTATTTAAATCTCTTATTTAATTAACAAGTTCGTGTCCCTATTTATTCCCTACTAACATTATGCTTGGAGCCAAAAACGTAAGCAAGTTTCTTGCATCACCGAAGTTTTCAGATACTTTCTATTCGGTTTTTTTATTAAACGTGAAAAAGAAAAGCTCGACTTACGGTCAGCGAATACGATGATAACTGCTAGATTTTATTTTAAGATTGTGCCCCTCGACTGTTTGATTTGTTCCTGTATATTACGGATAGCGAATATTCATCTCAGATACTGTCAGAGTGAAATACAGCATCTGCGGCTATCGATATTTCCTTACGCCCCAAGATAGCAAATGTAGTAAACTTTACTTACTTCCCGCAGTGCGCGCATTGAAAGTAAAAAGCCGTAATCATTTCTTAGTTCCTGCAGTGCGCGTATTGAAAGTAAAAAGCAGTAATCGTTTCTTAGTTCCTGCAGTGCGCGCGCCGAGAACTATTAAATATCGATGTAGCCGCTACCCGGTCAAGTATCGTGTTCAAGACCTCGTCGTGGCTGTCAGCTTTCCTTGGTATCACCTGGAAAGAGGCACACTGTTGTCAACGGCGGTGCATCAGCATTATTGTGTAGGTGGTAACCGCAATAAACATATACCTGGTCTTATTTTGTGATCTTATCAATGTACCAACATTCGTTTGAGTTTCAGGCCCTGAACGATTTGACATCTCGATCAGGACACTTTGCTTATCTACTTGTTGCCAGCCTTACGCTTAAGTCATGGCTTACAGACTCCACAATTATTCATTATTACTTGATTCTATTCAACTGATATTCGGATTTCCTGCCGACCACCTACCTACCTCAACTTTCGAGCTTATCAAACATCTCTCGTGGTTATATATCTATCATAAAATGTTGTTTGGTTATATTGAAAGACTCAAACATTTTCAATTTCGGAATTTATTTCATTTAAGAGAAAGTGAATGTTTATGAAATTTAATGATAATAGTTTTATTCTTTGTTAATACTTACTCTTAGTTGAATATCTCGTAATTCGATGTGATTATTCCTATGTATTTTATTTCGGTAATGAAACCATTGTGGCTCGGCAAACTGTTATCACAATATCAACCCACGACACTTGAAGAGTTCTGCATTAATTGTGTGGAGTTTTTGATTGTGCGAAGAAACCGCGGGTTGTAGAGGCTTATTTCTTCGTCTCAGGTTGAATTAAGATCATGAGTCATAAGTCAATTAGCGAAATGATGAATGTCTTTAGATTTTTTTGTACACGACCTACATTCAAACGTTTGTATGTATTCTTGTTACTATATGTTTACAATATCTATAGGTTCACATTAACAATTAAGTGACATTAGACATATACCTATTTCTCGAGCAAAAGACTTAAACAATCCTATTTTTACGCTTGTTTTCGATATTGTTATTGCGATGCGTTTGTTATAATCAGTTCGTTTAGTACGAAATGAAAATTTATATGACAATTTTGTTTGAAGTTTGCGGTGGCCTTGAGTGAGAGCCTGCCGTGTTTCCCGTGTGTTTCTGAGTGAGAGCCTGCCGTGTTTATGAGTGAAAGCCTGCCGTGTTTCCCGTGTGAGTTTCTGAGTGAAAGCCTGCCGTGTTTCACGTGTGAGTTTCTGAGTGAGAGCCCGCCGTGTTTCCCGTGTGAGTTTCCGAGTGAAAGCCTGCCGTGTGAGTTTCTGAGTGAGAGCCTGCCGTGTTTCCCGTGTGCATGCCCTTTGAGCTGAAAAAAGGTGAGTTTTAGCGGCAGAGCAAAAGCTTAATATTTGAATACTCACATTCAAATGTGAATCAAATTAATCTTTAGCTAAATCTGCAAGATGTCCAGTCAGAGAAATCTTGTTAAATTTAAGATCTGGATGAATAAAGGCCTCAGCATGATTTAATTTTAATAAGCAGTAAACAAGATGCTCGAACACTAGACGTCTATCATCTCTATCATGATAAATTGTCAAAGATGTCCCAAAGCAATGTTACTGAACACTAGAGAACAACAGACATCTATCATGACACTGCTGAACACCTCTAAATCTACAACGGCTTTGTGGGCAAGTGATTTCGTAAGTTCATCGCCGACAAGTACCAACGTAATACTAAATTGCTTGTAAGAATAAGGATTTTTCCTACAATAATTGTCATGACAGTCACAAGTAACGCTGCCTTGCTACGATTCTCATGAGAGTTCGTGCTGAAGGTTCCTTCCTTATTCATGCTGAATTTTTCAACTTTGTTGTTGTGATGAATAATTTGGTGCTCGAGGCAGGAAATAAAAGCACGAAATGTTGCTACGTGTATGCTTTATCAGATGCTAGTCTTATTCTAATTTATTCGGCTTCAAGTCGTAAAATTTATTCGAAGATATCGCTGCCGCTGATTTATTAATAGAATGTTCAAGTTACCTGATACTTACCGATAATTATTATCGGTAATTGTGACCGATTGGTGAGGAATCTTCTCGCCCTTTCCTAATTTATAAAATCTTCGCTCAAACAAAAATTCTCTTTGATTTACGTACGAAATTCAGTGTGAATCGTGAAAATGTACCGTTTGATGTGATGTTGTGCAATTCTTTCAGGTTTTGAGGTAAAATATTCCTTTTCAATGCACTTTATATTTTGAAATCGTTTAGGAAAGTGTCAAGTTCACTATATTCTCGACATTTTTATTTATTAGAAAATATTGAATAAGTGCTTATTTCAATAATAGATGGTTTGCTGAAGATACAGGATTGTTTTTTCGACGATACTAGATCACTAGAAAGAATGTAATGTTAACATGTGCAGCGGGAAGTTACTGGATACGCGTCGAATAATACTCTGTTGTTATCTCCTGGTTCTTACATGCTGCAACGTTGTCATTGTTGGAATATTGCCTGGATAAGCCGCGACTAAGACTTCATCTTGAACCCCACGTCGCTTGGATACGAGCATTAGGACCAGGGACGACTCGCACTTGTGCGGCCAAAATCAGAGTTGGTGGAATGGACGCCTCGCGCGCATTGAGTCGCTCCCTCGGCCACGTGACCGGCACACGCGAGCGCTGCGTTCCCACGAAGATCGCGCCGCTCGGTATTGAGCGCCGCGCTCGCTCTTGTTTTCCAGTGTGCCACTTGTCACGATGGAGGGAGGTGGTGGTAGCTCCTCGTCCGCTGATCGCTCACGAAACTCTGATGACGGATCGAAAAACGTGACTTCTAAAAATAGAACGAAAGATGGTGGATCTTCTCGATCGGAAATTAAAAAATATGAAGAAAAACTGCGCAGTTTAATACCAGGCGCGAGTGGCTTACCTCGCGTTGATCTCATTCACAGTGCCATTGACTACATTTCAGATCTGGAAGAGACACTGCAAGCTAGAGTGCGGAAACTTGGCAGTTCGACTTCGAGGCCGCCGTTGGCTCTCCTGCCTGGTCACAATGCACCTTATCAGTCCAGACAACCGCTATCTGCTTTGCAAACGGTGCCTCCTCCTTCCCAGAATCTCGAAGTTGATTTAGACGATCCGTTGAGATCCACGTTATTTGGCCGCTTCCCGCCAATTTCTGAAATACTTAGCCGGCGAGATGCAAGGCTTTCAGACACTCAGGTTGAGCTAACCTCGGTTATTTCAAATAATGAAGTAGCTAACGAGCCGAAGTATTCTTCCCAGCAACAAAGTCCCACGAAGGCAAGAACAGCAGCAACATCAGTAAACACAAATACGTTGTTTGAATCAACTTATTCTGCTGCAATATCAAGCAGTTTAAGACAAGATTCCATCGATCGGACATCAGATATTATTAACGCAGTGCCTTTACCTTCCGACCGGGAATTGTTCGCGAACAACACTTCGCCATTGTCTTCTCGGGAACCATTGTCAAACTTCCCTTCCATTGGCAAGCGAAAGACGTCAATGTTTCAAAGTGATTTAGATAACGACCGCGACGTGAAGCATGTGAAGTGCACTGATAAGCAATCGTTTGAGTCATCGAAAGATTGTTACTCAGAAAGAAGTGTGGATAAAATGCACGATTTCAACAAAAGTACCTCACCTTCTAATGACAGCTATGATTATTTTTCTGAAGCAGCTTTATCACCTCACCGAACATCCAGAAATACTAACTTAATTCGTGAAAGTTTGTTGTCGCCAATGGTATGCAATAAACCATCTTTAGCGCCGACCCAAGTCTCGACGACTACCGATGCTCCGCCAACAAAACTCACGCCATCTTTGCCTTCTTCCTCTACCACAAAAGCTTTCACGTCACCAGAGCCCGACGCCGCGAACGCTTTATCTACACCAAATACCTCATAGTTTCACGATTCTCCTTGCAAATGTGATCAGGGTAATGCCGTAGCCGTAGGAGTATGATTAGTAAAAAAAATCTACGTTTTATGCGCTCAGATGCAGAAACGCTGTGGCGAATTAACTACAGTAATCCCTCGCTATATCGCGCTTCATCTACGCGGCATCACTTCACTGCGGGTTTCTAACAAAATATTTATGAGAAGAATCATCATCAAAAGTATCAATGAGAAGATTTTCGCCGGTTTGCTGGTTTCCGAAGAATTCGACAAGCTTATTAAGCAGCCCGTGGAACTTCGGCAGTTAAAGATTGTCGGAAGGGTGTGTAAAAAATTAAAACTGAAAACTTGCTAAAAATTTAAGATTTACAATATAATTGCCCGTACCTAAATAAGTACTATCAGTCGATCAATCATCGCGAATTTCACCTGTCGGCGGCCGAAAGTCTGTAACGTAACAGCTGCGAAAGATAAGACATAACTGTACATCATTGTGATTACATTCTAGTCAGAATTTATCGTAAGGTCAAGAAAATTTGTAGCAGGCTAGAATACGATGCATCTTTTTTCTCGCTATTTGTGCTTATTGTATTTGAATTTATGTTATTGGTTTGTCGTGAAATTCGTCCAATTTTATTGTACCAGCATTCTATATGATACGTATTTATATATCTGACAGTTTATTTTGATATTATGTTTGTATTATATTTTCAATTACTTAGCTTTATCATGCAAACAGGTGACTCATCTTATTTGATTTGGTCGAAGCCTCAAAACCCATTAATTAAAAGTCATAGTAAGGGCAAATATACGTATTTCTCACAGCATTACAGCGATGTGCATACAATTTGCGTTCGATAAATACACGCTGCAGGAGAGATGAGCGTGAAAACGAAAGCCCACTTGCTTTGTTCATTTTCTACAACTATAAAAAATTGATTAACCCTCCTACGTTTACCTAGACTAAACTACTAGTGACGTGCTAGACTGCTACTAAGTACACTTGACGATTAATCCAATTCATTATTGGTATACCGTGAGCGTGGTATAAGTTTCGTCTGTATACGGGGCGCTAGAGAACTTCCTGCCACTAATGTTCTAATTCAGTGAGCCTGCGCAGTCGCCTACTTTCTTCCTGCACTCTCAGAGAAATAAGGGAGCATATCCAAATAACGATTCACTTTTTGCCCCTCTTAAGCTTCACCCATTGTGGCCCAGCAAATGAGCGTATCAGTGCTACGTCCGATCTCTGCTCGAGCTTTGGGTGTTGTTCGGTAAATATTACCCATATATTTGTGTGAGTGATGCGCAGGTGTCGTAAGTGAATGTTTTCAACAGAATTCCTTGTCTCAAACAATACCGATCCCCGAACACTGATACGTAGCACTGTTGAGGCTATATTGTTATTCTAAAACAAAAATTTTGATTCTACACAATTACCTGATATTATAGTCTCTTATTGTAATGAATCAAATGTTGTATTATTAGTAGTGGTGTTTCTGGCTAATTATTCCTTTGTAAAGTTGTATATGGGTGTCATGTATGTAAATTAATTTGTTGCTTATATTTAAATGCAAACATAGATTTTTCAGTGCATGCGTCCGAATAATTTTCAATATTTAAATTTCGACAAAACATGATTTTAATATTTTACGGAGACAAATGTTGTCATCTGCAGCACTTCTGTACCAGCTTCAATATTTAGTTTACGAACTATCTCAAAATTAAACTGTGTTCTGGTGTAGGGAAATCGCTACCTGATGCCACGGAATAGTTTCATTTAAAGCGCACCGCAATACCGGGCACGCAGCGAGGCTGAGGGATCGCAGCTCACGTAATTGTGACGCGCGATCGATGGCAGCGCGTGGCGCGCGTTGCGCCGGCATTCGGTCGCCGCGGCGCTCCGGGACTTCATTACGACTCTGGCCCCCGGGCCGTAATGCATGAACCTAAGATTATTGACGCCTGAGTTGCCCTGGATCAGTGGTTCCCATACTTATACAAAATGTTATCCAACGTAACTCGTCACAAATAACACGTTATTCCTTGCATAAATCATGATAAATGTTGTATAAATGCTATTTAGTTATCGTTTTTAAAAGAAGTCACTGTCTTCAGTACTTCCGAAAAATTATAGTTTGTCGCTATGGGGCAATCCCGACCCCAGCTTTTGAGCTAATTGTCGTGGACGGTCTCAGCATCAAGCAATGAGTGCTATTCCTGCGAGGAGAAAGTTCTACCATCACGTTTAGATAGTTTCCATGCACAAGAAATAGTGATACGTCCCTAAGCGACGTTCTATGACAATGTCCCAAATGTTAACTTTTTCGAAGTTATTTCTTAGGTATTTCTTCGACCTGATGGTGTTAAAACTAATCCCGATTGAATTCAGGTTAAACGCTTATTCTTCCTGCAGATCCATCGTTGCGTATTAAAAAGGCCATTAATTACTTACTCCATTCACGTGGCCAACAATTCCATATCGGCCAATAAACCAATTGATTGGAGTGAATTTAATTTTAAATACGGCAAGATAATGAAAAATTTAGGCATGTTTTCAGAGGCCTAGTTTTAGATCTTCCTAGGATTATAATGGAAATTTTAATATATGCCAATATATATACTAACATTCTGCTAAAATCCCTTACTTTCATTGTCTTGAAACTGTTCCATCATTTTCCTCTTGGTATGCATTAATAGGAGGAATGAAATGCAACGAAGAGTTCTATAAATTCTATATCAGCTCATCGACACACAAGAAAGTTGAAATTGTAAAAAAGTAGTAGAGATCATGCCGCACGTTATCTACAAATTATCATCGTGTACAGAAGCTATTTGCGAGAAGCAACCCCACTTCTCCCACCTCATCTCGAGAGAACCCAAATGTTTGAAATAGCATTAGAGAAGTTAAAGGTTCGGCTTCCACTTGCGAACCAACGGATTTCTAGGTAATCACGACGTATTCATCCTGCAACAAAATAAGTTCCATTCTTTAGCCGATTTCCACTAGCACATTAATTTCAGTTTTTATTGCCGCGCTGAGCAGTTAAAAACGACTCTCGTAACTAGGTTTAATTTGTTATTATGCGATATAATTGCAGGAGTAATCCACTCTAAGACGTTCGACTGCCCCGCGATCTGATTCGACACTTCAGAATAATACTGGTTAACTGATCGGCATTGTATCAAGCTTCGCGAACACACGAGTGCGAACGTACACGAAACAAATTCGATTTAATACATAAACTTTTCAGAAACGTTAAGGAGGAAATCACCACAGAAGGCCAAGGGAATAATTGCTGTTTCTGATCAACTATTGCACATCTCGTTCATTATGCCTATATAAATTTCAACTACAATAATTTCAACGACCGAGTAATATTTTGTAGCCTAGGAAGTAGTGCTAATGTTAGTAAATTTGTAGATAAAAACGCGAGTAAATCTATTACTGTCAGTACACTACCACTCTTTAAAATCCAGCCTCCTACACATCATAAATATGAACATTCGCTAGGTATCAACCGACCAACACTGAACACAAAATTATCAAGATAAATAAAGATGAACTTGAACAGCTGAATGCACTGAGAACCTGTGAAATTTCCTTATGAATAATATAAATTTGATAAACAACCAAATGAATCCTGAGCATTGAGCAGTTTATGTGGATCGAATAAAAAAACAGAATTTGGATTATTAGAGGAGACATCGGACGGAGGACACTTTCAAGTTTTCAACTGATTGAAACGCTCACGCATACAACAGCTAAGCGTCATTTTATCAGGTGACGCTCTTGATTAAAATTCATAGCGTATTTACAAAGGTTGGAATTGCCACTACTTTAGTGGAAAATTTCGCACCGAAATATCAATGACGTGTACATGACCTTATGGCGGCCTTTCCAGAACGATGAGGATAGTCGATAGCTGCAATTAGACATCATTGAATAGATTCACAAGCGCTCGTAGTGAATGTTCTCAACACTGAAAATATGATGGTGTATAAAATGACAAAATAACAAATAAAAAAGCTTATTTTAACGTCAGTTTTAACGTGACCAGAGAAAAAAAGTTAATCTGGACATAAATGAATGTAGCAACAATACTTTTTCTTAATAAGGACATAGTAGGCATCTCTACGTATGCCGAGGAAAAACTGAAGAGCAACTTCGTCTTCCTGTACAAACTAAAGCTTGACTTGATTCGTCTATTTCAGAATTTGTACCCGAATTCTGTAAAAAAAATTGCGCAGAAGTAGAATCAAGATGCCATCTTCGTAACAAAATGAAGTCCAGTCGTTCGTTGATAAAATATCTGCATATCATCACATTTAGCTGGCAGCACTGTGTACAAGAATTACAAGATTATCGTAGAAGTAAGCAAATTAATGCACACTTAAACCGGAACTTCAAGAATAGCTTTTCCATATTATCATGTGGTTAAACGAAAAGCTTCCAGAGTTCCGGCTTCTTGATGAATAGAAGGATCAAATTTGCCCTGCAAGCGATGATAGAAGAGGATGTCATGTACGAGATCAAACAAAAAATGTATTACAGCTATCGAACTGTAAAATCACTGGTATTACTATGAATAATAAATTACAAACTTAAGTTTCATAAACTCTCGTGACGTGACGGTGTGATTCAACTCCAATTCCTTACTTGAATGACTGGGAACAGCGATCTAGATCTATACCTAGAAACTTACATATTTCGTTTGATAACTGAATGTGGATTGATGATTCCTGCCTTAACATTAGAAGACTTCGTTCCCACCGATTTTTATTTCCAAACATCAAAAATAAGTAGAGTGGAAGTGGGAGAAAATATAAGGCAGGTGATGAATCGCAAAGCTAATACAGGTAATCCAGATGAGAGCAAAATTTAAGCAACTATTTAGCAACAAACGACAATAATTATCCGTTAACTCGATTGAATGGGAAAATTGTATTAAAATCCATTCATCATTAGGCACACTTTATCTCTGAACTAAGCAATGAAAATCTCACGATTTAGCAAACATCCGAAGCGCATACGAGTCTAAAGACGCTTTTTTCAAATTTTTTGAACAATTCAAGTTCCTGCGACTAAAATTGGCGACATATCTTGGAGAGTGTCACACACACATCTGAAATATAATACAATTTGGAGTCTATTATAAAAGGTAACAAGAAAAAACATGCTTAGTCATGACGTTCATGATGGATTCATGCACTAAAACTAAATAATATCAGAGTTTAATGAATGTCAAACTCACTAAAATTGGAATGTTTCATCACGGGTCGGAGTATTAGAAAAATAATAACAAGAACAAGGTAGCAATGAACGGTCATACTCAAGAGTCTCCCATAAATTGAGCAAATAAACTCGACCACATTGCTTCGAAGCAGAGCTATTCAAAACTGCAGCTTACTTTCGGAACAAAACATTAAGGTTAAAACCTTTTCAAATATTTGTTAACTACAAATTGTTCATTAGACAGCAACTACTCGAGACCTTTCGTTTTCTCTTATGAACAAAGTGAGCCATGCGATTGCAGGAAACAGTTTGGTCCACATTAAGAGAATTGGAATAATAGAGTGTAGACACGGAACAATGACTGCGATTATAAATTGTTCATTTGGTAAAAATCTCAAATTATATCAACATGTTCTCTCACGTTCAGTATTATCCGACGTTGATAGCTTTCAGTCTTGTCAACGAATTTAAACGAACGTTAAACCTCTCACCACCACCTCTATGATTTGAGGCTGACATTCCCAAACAAGACCAGATACAACACAACATCTTATCCTAGCTAACGATTTGACCCTCGCTATCAGTTCACATGAGATAATTGCGTCATTTAACCCTTCATCAACAGACGATAACTCGAGCTCACATGCCTTTAGATACATACAACTTTGACGACGGTTGATGTAGCAACAAAGAAAAGTTTAAGGTTTGTGCAACTTGTAAGCGTCTAAAGCCTAGATATCCGGAGTAGGTGGGGCTGCAGATTTGAAGACAGGACCTGAGGGCAGCAGCACTATAATACAAAGGGCATCACTACGCGTCACGCGGGGGGACCTCTTCTTTGTTCTGCTCCTCTTCTGGACGGACGATCTGGTATGTAATTAGGTACTCCGGGTACGCCTGTGAACAAAGCAAATTCATAAACAAACAATATAATCATGGATAAAGCAATACAAATTAACACTGGATATAAGTCATGGCATGTATAAAAAGTACTTTAAAGCAAATATTAAGAATTCGGCGTCAATACATGGTAAATATTTGTCCAAGAATAAAGTGAACTACTTACAACATGAACATCAAGAAAAATATCCGCAGAACATGTAGCAAAAGTTCGCCGCCCATCCTTGTACACGCCAATAAAATTTTCAGCCTCAACAATCGACTAATGACTTGAACATAACAGTAAGTGGGATTAAGAAATGTTTGCATTAGCACATGTTAATAGGTGATATAATTAAAGGACAATTACCTTTTATTGGCTTGACTAATACAATTTTTGTACGCTTCCTTGCATTACACTGAAATGAGCCCGTTTCAAACCCCAGGAGTAGTAGCCAAAGAAGAAATCTAATCATGACAAATAGAAATTATGTTTAATTTCCAGCAACAGTAGAATAAGTGCATTACACTGGAAATTACGGAAGAAAACCAATTATCACTACAAAACTATCCTAATGGCTCACCTATTCCTTCTTGTATGCTAAAAAATGAACGAGCGACCAGTGGTTTTCTAATGACTAAAACATTACCTATCCTCCCCGATTACATCATGTGCTACTCTATCGACTGTAGACTACCGCCACAGACTCGCCTCCTGTCTTCAACACACCTATTTACCTATTACCCCCTACAGACTACAGCTCTAGCCTCACCTGTTCCCCTCTGTAGACAACGTATTCAGGATAGCAGAGCCCCCCCGCGCTGGGTCGTCCCACGACACTATGGTGACCAGGGGGAGCGTGGGCCATTTTCAGAGCCGAAAATTGCAAGAAAGAGCGGCCCAAAGTGACGCGGCACAGCACCACTTGTCTGCACAAAAGTATAACAAACATGTAAAAGATTTGCTTTTGTTACAGTTTAAGGTTTCGCAGTGCAACTAAATTCCGATATATTTTTTTTTTAATAAGGCCTCCCACACTCACCATTCCAACAAAAAGGAATTAATTTTATTAATTAAAAACAGGGAATGGTTTCATGTCAATGATCAGGGCCCCGACCTTAACGCCTCTGATGGTGGCCTACACCGACTCCGAGAGTCACTGAGCTGTGACGCGAGTGAGGAGCGGGCCCACGTCGAAACCCAAGCAACCCGGGCACAGCCAACGCCCGAAGGCGTCTGCCTGTGCTCTAGTCAGCCCTACGCATGAGAGATGGTAACATCCCTCACACGAAGAACAACTGACTGTCCTCTTACTGTTGTTAACATTCGAGCAACTCAGGCACCCGCGTCCTCTCCCCTCCATCCCTCGGCCGTTTCCATAAGGTTAGGCGAAAACCAAAACAGAACGGCTGCTGCGTGGCTACAATCAAAATTACGCTTATGCTGGTCCGAATGCTACGTGCAACTAGTCAAGCAAGTGGCACGCCGCAAAAGAATAACGAGTACACTAGCAGTAGAACTAGCAGTTCCGATATTTTGAGGGATGACGCTCGAACTATTAAATTCATTGATTGTAGGTCTTAAAAAGAGTTAAAAACAATTAATAGAAGGGAAGATTTCAATATGAATAGGGTTCAAATTTGATCAAAGATACAAATCAGTAAGTCATGCTGATCGAAGTAGAATAACTGGCTCTCAATTCAATACTTAGCTTAGTCAGGAGCAAACAAAGGCAAACGCAAAAGGCTTTAAGCTTTACAACACATGATTCATCAGCCTACTCTTCTCTGAGTTTATAAAGTACATTTAAATGTATTACTAAATCCTACTAAAACATCACACGATTCAATAGTGGAAAGAAAACACTTGGTGAAATCACAGAGAAAAATAAGTGCGCACCTGCAGCAGATGTAGCACGAACGGTCCTTGTGAACAGGGCAGCCCGTGCCTCCACCGATCCCGTAGACATATTGGTTGCTCTTGCTCGAGTGTTCCGCAAAATAAATACCTGCAAGACAAGTTTGAAGAATATACACGTCTACGTGAAACAGCGAAATAAGTTAAGTTATTTTACTAGACATCCACTACAGTGGAGATATGTGACTTGTGATAAATTATAGCCATTTGTCAAGACATTTCGATGACCTAAAAAAATATAAAACGTTCGTATTTGACTATTTATTGCATAAAGGTTGGCACTCTAGTTCAATTGAAGTCGTGGTTTCCATCAAAGCTAAGGAATTACGGGTCTAGATAAAGCGAATTAGATTTTTCCACGGCATATGTTCCAGGAAGAAAACAAAAATATGCGCAACTCACCGGCACCAAACATGCCGCCAATGTAGGCGTGTCTTTCATCGAATCCTTTCTGCACGATGGCCGAAATAAAAGGCGAGCCGTGGAACAGCATGCGTTCGTTGGGAGAACCGCCGCACTCGTGGCCGACCTCTCCTCTGCGATGGCGGTAGCGTTCCCAGAGACGTCTGTTACGGACCTTCTGAATCTTGACAATATTATACTTGCAGAAAATACCACCAGCGTGACCGTTGTCGCGATGCTCTCTAATGGTGTTCTGCATTTCTTCGTCGACGGCAACGAACTCCCTGTCATCTGCGGAGAGTTCAACAAGCACAGTACAGCCGCTGTTGATGCCACTCACGGTGCTGTGATGTTGCCTGATGCGCTGCGCAGCCTTCATCAGCTTGTGACGGTGCCCATAAGCTGCAACTCCCACCGTCCGCAGGTCATCGTGACTCATCTCACACAGCACATCTAAACTGATGTCCTCGCGCTCAAAAAGACCACAAAGCTGCTCAAGCCCTAGACTCCTGAGCAGCTGCTGCACCGTCGCCGGCATGTCAGCAGCAACTACAGCAGCCGCGGCCTCGCTGCTCTCCATGGGACAGAAAGTGAGGCTAGCACCACTTGGCATTACGATCGTCTCGACTTCTTGCGGCTGTGGCGAGGGAAGCAACGAAAGTAAAGATGGCGCAGGTGATAAAAGTCCTCGGGCAGGTGAAGAAGGTGCAGCTAGAGACGCACACAGACCACCCATTAAAGGAGGACTTGCACTGCCACTACTACCGCTGCTCACCAAGTTGGCACCTGAAGAAGCTAAAGACGGTACTAAGGACAAGCCGGCGGCTGTCATACCTAAAGAATCACCGACTGCAGAAGCACTGCCGGCAGTAGGGGGACTCATCATTGCATCCTGTAGGAGACTACGCACGTCATCAGCTGTGGCCAAGTCCAGAGGAGTCTGACCTTCCTGGTTTCTCATGAAGGGGTCAGCGCCGTGCGCCAAAAGCAAAGCTGATAAATGAGTCCTGCCCTTCTGTGCCGCTTCGTGCAAGGGAGTGTAGCCCCAACGATCCGTTGCGTTCACGTTAGTCTCATAACGAATAAGAAGGGAAGCGAGGTCCATATGGCCGTAGGATGAAGCGTTATGCAATGGGATTAGGCCACCCTTGTCTTGAGCATTCACATTCGCACCCTTCTGTAGTAGAAACTCTGCTACGTCCAAGTTGTTGTATCCAGCAGCTAGGTGCAGCGGCGTGGAATTTCTTCCCTGAAAAACAAAGCAGCTTGAAATAATCAAGACAGTTTAAACATTTCAAAATAAGGATAAGCAAGACAAAAAAATATAAATTCAGTTCAGAAATGTATCACGCCAGCGAACAAAATAAAAATTTATCAAAAATAAAAATTGGTCATGCTAGTTCAAAGGTATCGGGGAAAATTACTATGACCCAGGAGAGCAACAGCAGTTCTCATGTTATGAAATTATGTTCAAACAAAAGAATCATGATTTTATTTAATTAACAAATTGTCCAAACATACTTGGGAGTCTCTGCAGTTGATGTTGTCAGTGGTTGTAAGGCGCTGGACTCGCGCGAGGGCGCCTTTCTTCGCGGCGTCGAGAAGAGCCGCGTCGCCTCTCAGGAGATCTGCAACGTCCTGGTCACTGTCCCTCACGAGGTCCAGAGGCGTGTGGCCATCTCGGTTCTTACGGTTCACGTCCGCTCCATGCTAGTGAGTTCACGCAACAACAATCTATTAGTAAATCGAGTAAACTCATCAATTGTGCAACAATCCAATAATATGCTGCGTCTGCAGTTCAAGTCACTTAAATTAAAATGATATTCACAATGAAAGAAAAGAGGCAAGGAATACAATTAACAAAGAAATATAATTTAGGTAAATCCTAACACCAAATTCGCATGAAGGCTACTTAATAGTTAGCTGCATATTGCATTGGTGAAAGTCGTTATCTTTCGCACCCCACAACCCGGGTTCGAGGGGTGCGAGTAAGTTTTTTTGTAAGTAGTAGTAAGTTTACTCTTACTCTCTGAGTAAGTTTTTTTTTTGGAAGCTCAGCTCATAAGCCAACTCAGCCATTTATCAAAGTATGATGCATAAATGTGTTATTGGTTGTTTCACGGTGTTGTTTCTTGCTGCAAAATAGTTCTGGCAGATCAGCCAGCGAGTCATGGTTCGTGGAACTACCTGCAGTGGCCTTGGGGCTCTAAATAGCTGACCTATCACTTTTTCCTGCCTAAATGGCCGCTATCTTGGTGGGCAATACGCACGCACACAGGGCGAGTAGGGGTATTTTCTAAGCCTTGCCAGAACATGGATCACCTTTAGGAGAAGTTTGACGATGTCAAATTTCCCTTTGGCTGCTGCTTCATGCAGCGGAGTGAACTTCCACAGATCCGCAACGTTGACAGAAGCTCCGTGACGAACAAGCAGTTCTGTCACCTCGTAGTGGCCGTATGAACACGCGTTGTGCAGCGGCACCAGCCCCCTGAAAGATACAATGCAATATTCGTATTTATGAATGAATTGAATAAAATTGCAAATGAACAATGAGGTAGCGTACATTAGGAGAAAAACTTCTAACAAGGGAAAATTATCAACTGCTTGATAAGAATGAGTTCTGCTGAGAAAATGAACTCACCACGCATTAAAAATCATAGCCTCGTGCGAGAATTGGCGACGAATGAGCAGAGTAACGGGGCTGAAAAAAAAAATTGAGATCTCGCAGCTCACCCCTTATCTTTGGCGTGCACATGAGCGCCGTGGTGCAGCAACTCACCCCTTATCCTTGGCGTGCACATGAGCGCCGTGGTGCAGCAACTCACCCCTTATCCTTGGCGTGCACATGAGCGCCGTGGTGCAGCAACATCTCCACTATGGGCACGCGGTTGTAGCCGGCAGCGAAGTGTAGCGGCGTGCTGTGCCGGCCGTCCAGGTCCCGCACATTCACAAGGCTGGGCTGCGCTGCTAAGATGCTCCGCACGCACTCTACGTCTCCCGCGCGAGCCGCCTGCAAACAGGGGCGAATTATTGATAAAAATTAAGAATTTCTGTATCGATATACTTTCATTCAATTTCCTATGCATTGATTGACAGTTCCAACACAAATTGGTTAAGACTACACGTTCCCAACAGACCTCATCTCCAACCGTTAAATCTGATAGGAACAATTAAAAAAAGTTCTTATTATAGTCCAGGAAAGTTTTGACATTAACAGCATAGATAGAATGATGCATATAAAGCATTTGCGCATTATGAAGTGATATGAATATCGTTTTATCAAGACTTCTAGACACCGACTGACCTCCAGCATTTGCTGCTCCCTGTCTGTACAGAGGCTGCCAGTGCTGGGTATGGAGACCGCTCCACTGCCGCTGTTATTATTATTGTTGTTGTTAGAGCTGCTGCTGCTGCTGGATGTTGCCACGCCCATGGGGACTAAACTGCCATCGTCACCTGTCAAAATGTTAGTATATTAATAACTTAGCATGTTTTTGTGCAAGTTTTTCATCAATCGGTGCAGCAAAATATTTGTCAATAAACGATACATCCATAAGCCGGCAGAGCTCTTCTACTCCATTTCACCTCGGCAGGCCATTTAATAATGGAACAAAATATTCAGAAGAACTGTCGAAGTTCATTCAACTTGAAAGCATTACATGTTGCCATATCCTCGACATCGGGAGAATCATGACCAAGAGTGAATAGCGAGCCACTGACTAGCAATTATCTCGTAGGCGATATAAGATGAAAGATACGAGTTTATGATGCATCATAAGAGTTGAGGATGTAAGTTAAGATAGCAGATAGGAGTTTATGATGCAAAATAAGAGGGCAAACATGAGTTTATGATGCAAGATAAGAGGACAAATATAATTTTTGTATGTAACATTAACCGCACAATAATAAGTTAGCTGAGAAGCAAGCTAATTGAAGTGAAGGGGAGGCCGCATACCAGCAATGAGGGGCGCGAGGTGGAGGGGGGCGAGGTGTGCAGCGGTGTGGCCCTGAGCGTCCGTGATGCTCGTGTCCGCCTCGAACTGCAGCAACACGTGGCATGCCTTAGCGTCCCCACAGCTCGCCGCGTGGTGCAGAGCTGCGCATATATAACAATGGGCGTCCAAAATAAAAACTTTAAGGTTCTAACTAAAAATATTGGAACTCGAAAAAAGGTGAGTAAAGAAAAATACAATTTTCTTTCGAAAAACATGGCCGTATTAAAATAGTAACTTTTGTTTACCTTTGTATTGTAGGTATTCCCCAAAGCAGCAAACACATAACAAGAAGTAATGGCCTCTAAAAAAATAAAACGTGTAGTTCTAGCTGAAAAGACATTTTTCTGTGAAGAAATACACGGCCCTATCAAACAAAATTCATTATTTTTGGTTTCTTTAGTAGTCACTTCGGTAAACAGCAGCACAGACATATTGAAAATAAGAAATGACGGAGCTCAAGCAAACCGCGATGTTTACCGAAAACAAGATTGACGATTTTCCTAGTGGTACGGTAGTAGATTTGATACGATGCCAGTGAAACGTGATAAAGGGAACAATCAAAATTCAACGTTTTTCCTACTAGCAATAAACAGCCCCCTAAGAATATTTTTATTTTTGCTTGCTGCAGTCGTCAATTTGGTGTTTAGCTGCTTAACCAGGTTGACAAGAATAAATGATGAGGCTCAAAAAATCCGTTCACGGAAAACAACAAACACTTTCTCGCAAAAAAAAAAAAAAAAACAGTCAAGGAGAGATGCAATTTTTCCCCAGTGTTGGTTCTCTTGATCGAATTTCACCCGGGGCAAAAGTACGTATCAGTGCTACGTGCGGGAAATATGTCACTATGAACAATGGTGATCGTTCAATATTATTAGCATTTATTTATTCATCTCATGAGCATATTTTTGGTTTTAATGAGCGTATATATGTATAGCCGCGCCTGGCGTGGCCAGCTCAGTAACATTTGAATCCGACCTTACTGCGTAGTCGTGACGTTATCAGAGGTCAAGTCTGAGCGGCTGTGTGCCGAATGGTCGGTCGGTCAGTCGTGTCCCGCCAGCACTACTGCGAGGTTTCACCTAAGCTCAGTCCGCTCTACCTGACTCGCAAGCGATCTCGCGCCCTACCGCTAGACTTTGTGTCTGCGATCTAAAAGCTTCATAACGCTGTTTATGAATAGGTATGTACGCTATGCGGATTTTTATATTTTAAACGTATATTCATTGCTTCAATAAAGTTACGTTTTATACACATGAACTGAAATTTCATTGATAAACCAAGTGCAATAAAATACCAGCGATTGAAACTATACTCAGATCTGTTTTTTACCACGATATTTACCGTCGTTTGACTGTAATTTTCGAACAATCTGACTAGAATCAAAAGTGCAGAAAATTTCTGATGACATCACTATATGTGGATAATATGACCCATTCATTTCACGGAGTGAGACGCGAGAAGAAGTGCTCAGGACGTACCGGTTTGTCCGGCCCCGTCGAGGACGTTGACTTTAGCGCCGTGTCTGAGGAGCAGCTCGAGCAGGTCTGCGGCCACCGGCCCGCACTGCGCGGCAAGGTGCAGGGCAGTGAGCCCGTCTTTGTTCTTTTCGGACGCGAGAGGACCGGCGCCCTTGCGCAGTAGCAGCTCCACTACTGCACGGCACCGCGCACCACCACAGGACACCGCGCAGTGCTGGGGCAGTGAACATGACATTAAACATGACAACATTAACATCATCTCGCACACGTAACACCGCGCAGTGCTGAGGCAATGAACACGGCATTAAACATAGCAACATCAACATCATCTCGCACACGTAACACCACATCATGGTAATATAAATAATATATAGCCTATAAACACTCGTCCGTAAAAGATTACAAACAGTTCTTGTATACAATTCACAGTGCAGTTAGTTCAGAACCTATAAGCATTTTATGTTAACACAAACCAATGGAGTGTCATGAGTGAAGGGGTGCGAGAAACTGACGAGTTGTGAGGTCAGGAGGCGCTTCAGTTTCGCAGCGTCACCCTGTCGGCAGGCCTCCAGCACGCTGTGGCCGGCATGCTCGTCTGTGATGACAACACATTATTACTCTGAAGACATCAAGGATGCAGCATAAGGACGTCACCCAGGATAAGCAAAGTATTAATATAGCCTATAATGATTACAGGGCGTAAACTTGAGGACGCTGTGGCCAGCATTCTCGTCTGAGGGATGACACAAGCTCAGACTTCCTACAGCACATATACGGCGAGTATAGTTAAAAGCTGAGTAATACACTAAACAGGCAAGTAATGGGCGTTCATGGCACAAACACACATGTAATGGGCGTTCATAGAACACCCATACCCATACCATAGAACACCCGAGGTACCAACAGCTGAGTCAACCTTAATGGTCTCTTCTTTAACTCGCCTGCAAGACCAGAAGCAATAGCACAATTTTCCTATCAGTTAGTTGACATCTTCAAAATTTTCCGCCGTTGAGGGGAAATTTATAACAATTTTTTTTCATGCCTATAACAGGTTCATAGGTCAACAACCAGAGCATTGCATGTTAGGTAAGATTCAAAATATACTAGATATTCATACTTCATCCGCGAAAAGCCTGCATTGGCAAGAGTACAACATTTGCTTGACTTTATTCTGTCAAAAACAGGCATATATAAAGTCAACTTACAGTAAAATGACATTTCAAGAGAACAATTATTGACACACATTAGCCACCAAAACAGGAGTTCACGAGCACTAGTTCACAGCACAAAATTCACACTTTACTGCATAATGACCATTCTCAACAACTGGGCAAACATTAGCAGCTCTTAACTTCAGACTGTGTTGCGCGAAAATAAAAAAAAATCATCTTGACAATTTTTGTAAGTAATCAGCATAACGCAATTCAACCTATATAATAGTATAAAAAATAAAATAATTAGCGTGCATATAGAAAATTTATTCCAGTAGAAGCTTGAATCGGCATTACTCTGGATAAATCAGCCCAAAAATATTAGCATATCATTATCCTTAATCCTTGGATAAACTAATGAAAGAAATGCCTGTTCAAGCCTACAATTAGAAGAAAACTCCCATTCAATCCATTTACAAATTTAAAGGAATATTTTTATTTTTGAATATATGTTACACAAAGCAACACAAGAATCGTACTTTAATTTCTAAATCCATCTTCTCCCATTATTTCAAAATTCATCTCAAATCCTTCATAAAAACGAAATTTCATTTGCAGGTAATATCCCAAAACGATAGGTATCGTGGATTAAATATCCCTTGAATAGTTTCAGTGCCTGGCTTCAAACAAAAAATTTAATAAATATGTATGTGGTGCTTATAAACATTCAAGTGATGATCATAAATAAGTGATTTATGATGAACATAAATCACTTATGTTACTATTATGTTACTACTATTATGTTACTAATATCTTCATTCATCATAAGTGATGAATGAAGATATTAGGGCAACTGACAGGTGAGTCGGTCTTGCAGGTCGCGGGAGGGGGCGAGGTCGATGGCGCTCTTAGAGTGGCAGTTGAGCAACGTAGGGTCAGCACCGTGAGCCAGCAGCAGTGAGCAAACCTGCATATAGAATAAAACATAATAATACCTATGCAACGAGCAAAACTGTACATAAAATAAAGCCAGATAATAAGTTGGAGTTGGCAATACATGGAAAACTTCAGGATTAATTCGAGCACTAACATCATTCTTGTGAAATAAAATAGAAATACTCGTATATTACCTACCAAGGTGCTGGTACCAACAGATCATCTCTATAAGTTAACCTACTGTACTGTATATCAACCTACTTTCGTGTCACGCCTTAGTTGCACATCTGCACAATTATACGACAATAAAAACTCAGTAACATCAGTTTATTATCATCTACAAAAAGCGAAATAGCAACCGCAAAGCTCACCTCAATCCTGGCCTTAGCAGCAGCCTCGTGCAGAGGAGTGAACTGCCATAGGTCCATGGCGTTGACGTTGGCACCAGCCTTGAGCAGCAACTCAGTTACTTCGTAATGCCCATAGGAACAAGCGTTATGTAGAGGAACCAAACCTCTGAAAAAATTAACCTCTTTTGATTGATGAAGCCTCTAACTGTTAGCACTACCATTGAGAGTCGGTAGATATTATTATCAAATTAACCTGAAATAATCTATTTCTGGCACAACAAGTTTCATGTTACAGTATAAGTCAAATTTATAATATTTCCTCCAGTTTCTTTCTCTCGACTATATAACCAATAATAAGTAACAAAAAAATTACACAGAATTTCTCTACACCTCCCAATATCTTCTACCTGTACAGATTCAATTATACGTGATAACTATTAATTTCTTGATGAAGAATCAAGTAAAAGAACAAGCCCAATTCATCCCAACTTACCAAAGCAATTATCTGTATTAATTTATAACTTTTTGATGAAGCACTAAGTAAAGACGAACCCCTTGTCCTTGGCGTGGACATCAGCACCGCGCTGCAGCAGGGCAGCCACCACGAGGGTGCGGTTGTAGCCAGCGGCGAGGTGGAGGGGCGTGCTCTTGCGACCGTCGCTGGCGTGGCAGTTAACGTTTAGGGGAGTCAGTAGAGACATGAGCCGTTCTTCCTGACCAGCTCGGGCTGCTTCAAGAACTTCTTCCTTCTTATATTGACCTTCAAGAATGTTTAAACAATGAACATGGAAAGCTTGTTCACTCACAAAATGTCAAACCAAAAATATGAGTCACTTTATTTGCTGAACTTAGAATTAGAAGGCCTGATAGTTCTCTACTGAAAAATTCAATTCATCTTTTTACCTTGCAGGAATACAAGTGTTGATGAGTGGTAGGAAAAAGTAAATCATATATATTAAATTAAGCATTCAAAGCATCATAATGAACATGTTCCTAATTGTTTTAGAGTTTACTAAGAACAAAAATCTCTGATAAACACACAATACATGAACAACTACTATTTCTGAAATGTTAACTACTAAAAAACATTACAAGGATACAAAACAATAAAGAGGTCATTCACAAGAAAACATTGAACATAAAGGAATACAATGTTCAAAAGCAAACAGATAGAAACCAGCACTGACCAGTGAGGACAGAACGAGCGTAGGTATCAGCAAGGTCGAGCGGTGTTTTTCCATCTGTGTTCCGTATACTGGGGTCTGCAAAGTGCTGTAGTAAAACTGCAACAAGAATTAAGAATTACACTACGTAGTCGTATTAGAGAACCAATAACCTCACATAAAATTTAATTATAACTTTGCAATTCAGACTATACCGTAATGTGATTACTAGTGCACAGGCCTTAAACATGGCACAAGAGTAGAAAGGATGTCACAGAGATGTTAGATTCGTCCTGACAGTAAGGTGGCTATGAATTCAAATTATTTGTATAAGGCATAGAATATAAGCCTACATTATTAAGCCATTACTGCATAGCAATTACTACAAAGAAATCTTAATAACATGTTTTGCAACCTTTTTGAACATACTTCTTTGAGCAATATATGAAAAATGCATCACTGGGATGTGATGCATTGTGAACACCATACAGGGCTAAATTCTTTCACCATAACTATAGTTTAATTCACAATGATCTAAAAAATTATGTAAATATTAGTCTTGGCAAAAGAAACAAAAAATATCTTACCTATACAAACATCAAACTTAGACTTTGAGGCAGCTTCGTGTAGAGGAGTGTAGTTCCAGTTATCACGGGCATTAGGATCAGCACCAGCCTGAAGAATTTCATGTTTTAGTTAAGCCATATAAAGGTATTACCATACCTATATAGATGCATCAGCTGTTAATTAGATTACTACAAAGCTCACACAAAATAGTGACCACATTCAAGGATGTTTTTAGGCAAATTTCACCAAATTATTAATTAACGCATTATTCTCGTTATCTTCCTCTTTTTTCTCATGAGAAAAATTTTAAAAATTTACTCATCTGCTCTGAGTTTTATTCAAGTAACAGAACTTTCTACAATCAAGGTAACTCTAATCAGTCCTCATATTTAGAGTCACTAGTTCAAAGCCTCAAAATACAGGCTGTTGTTCTGTCTTGTTCTCCAAAGAGACTGTACAATATATTGAAAATTGTGATCTACTTTGTAAAGCATTTATCTAATAACAAATTATAGTTTTGCTGTGGTTGTTGAAGCAGGTACTTGGCAGGTAAAATACCAGTGCAATAAACAATTGTTTTAGTATAGTTGTGGCAACACAACACTGCCTAACCAACACCAACCGAAATGCATTTTTAGAGCACTATTAGTTTTTGAATTTCAACAAAATTAAAGAACAATGGTCTTGACACTTTTTGGTTAAATAAATAAGTATGATGCTATTTTTGAATTATTTGCACCTTGCAAACTTTCACTCACATTATAATAAATTGATTCACTGCTTGAAAAATTAACTCACAGCTCAAAAAAATTTACTTCGGCTATAGAAGAGATGAACTAACAGCCAGATATCCAGTTTTAGATCAAAAGGCAGACATGCCAACACACATGTGCTTACCTTTAGCAAAATTGAAACAACTTCAGCATGCCCAAAGGAACAGGCATTGTGTAATGGGATGAGGCCTCCATCATCACGAGCACCAACCACAGCACCAAGACTAAGTAAATGCTCCACTACTTCACGACGACCAAAACCTGCACATTGCAATTGGATGCTCACAGACAAGTTCTTTGTAGAATCAAGTATATGGTACCTGGTACCATACATCACTGCACAAACCAGAAATATAAGCTTCCACAATTTTAATATGTACATAAATTCTATCCATAGAACTGAAAATAATCTGCCAAGAACACTTCCTGTACATTTTTAAATATTCACATTTGAAAATGTGTATAATTTTCTAAAAAAATTAAATGTATTTGCTATCCAAAATAAAATATTTCTGAATTTTCCATCAACCAACCAATATCTAAAATTGTAATCCATCATTACATGTTACATTGGTGTAATTTCAGCCTTTCAGGCATAGTAGCAAAGCTGAAAAGTAGAGACTTTTTTAGACTCTACTTTCAGTTAATTTTTTATAATTCCGCTACTTAGCTATTCCAAATTAGTTTGATGGTAGCCTTTTGGAAATTGCCAGTTTGGGCTTTTCTCATCCAAACCATGTTCAGACAGCTGCTTTCTAAGGACTAGCTAATTCTAATGGAATAGAACATACCTACAACTTCTACAAGAGAGTGAACAGACTTATGCTGACCTTCTTTATTAAATCCTTCAACTTATATGTAGACCAGTATCATAGATGATAGAAAGACATTGATTACCAGCCACACTCAGGATGATGTATGTTTTCGGTGAATTTTCCCACGCATTTTCACTTTTTTAAGCTATTGCTGTGCACAGTTGGCGCAATGTAATGAAAATTGATTATCTTCGCTCACGTGTTTGCGCAATCCCGGCCATCAATTCTACGTCGCGCTGCCGCGTACGAGCAGTTTGTGGAGGAACAGACGTAATACTCACATTACTCAGTACAGTATGCCTTTAATTATCTTTCAATAATATATGATTTTTCTTGATACGGAAATTTGGTGAATGAGAAATCTAGAACTTTATTTTAGAAGAAATTTTCTCTAAAGTCATATGGCAACACTGAACACCATCTGTTTACATTTCGTATGTAATATGTATTATGTTATATGTATAACAGCCGCAGTTTACGATTACCATAAGTTCCGTATCCGACAAGGCGGACAAGCGGAAGAGTCAGAAGTAACCCGGACATGTCTTACATTTTATTATTGTCAGTTCGACTCGCGTAGTTAATATACTTGCGTATATTGTCAACTAAAATAGTAGAACTATTTTAGCTTTCTAAAGTACGGCGCACGGCACATTTTTTTACCAGCATAGTACGGAGCACCACGCAGGTCGTTAAAATGACAAAATAAATTCCCGCGCACCTGGCACATCTTCCTGACCATGGTACATGTATTTCTTTAATTGCCAAAATCATGAAAATGGGGAAATGGGCAGAAATTATCCGTGAATTTAAGAAAAATGCCTGTTCATTTAGCCAATTTCATGGTTTTCACCTCTTCCAATGGCTTTTTCCCAATTTATTTAGTGAAAATAAGAAAAATCGCATATTTTTATCAGAAATTTTGAAAAATTACCCATGAAATATTTTTTTCACCACAATCTTAGAAAAATTCTTCCTGATATCCCAAATTGGTGTAATTTCAGCCTTTCATTCATAGTAGCAAAGCTGAAAAGTAAAGACTTTTTTAGACTCTACTTTCAGTTAATTTTTTATAATTCCGCTACTTAGCTATTCCAAATTAGTTTGATGGTAGCCTAGAGAGTGAACAGACTTATGCTGACCTTCTTTATTAAATCTTTCAACTTATATGTAGACCAGTATCATAGATGATAGAAAGACATTGATTACCAGCTTTAAAATAGCTACATAGGTATAAAGGCCTAGCCCTAGCCTAGGCTAATCGCTAATAGCCTATAGGTAATACATTCATATTGAACTAAATTTCAAGTAGCTAGGTTAGTAGCAAAGTAGGTATATTAGAAATGGATTGGTTTCTAGAAGCTGAAATTCCACTCAAAAATAGTAATTAGTCTCATTTTTTTCACATATTTCAAATAGAAGTTACTACAAAGTATAACATTCTGTTTTTAATCAATCAGAAAAAAATTTTTCCATCCCACCGCACCTGCAGCAAAGTGAAGTGGAGAGGACTTGCGACCCGCTGTATCACGAGCATTAACATTTTGACTATTAACGAGTTTTTTCACACGAAGTAAATCGCCATTCCTGCATGCTTCAAAAAGTTCTTTTAATGGTTCACTTCCCGATATTTCACTAGCAGATAAGGCTGACCTGCGAGCAGCCATTGTGCCATGGTAATACACACCGAGTCCGATTACTTCCGTTAATTAATTATGCAAACTCCTTATAGATGATTATTTTGTGGATAGACTTCTTCCTTTCTAATTTAGTCCCACCAAATTTTTATTCTTGCCTGAAGTTTACAAAACTTTTTCAAAATATAAGATATAGCAAAAATAAACTTTCACAGAAAATTACGCTTTACGAGTGCAAGGAATCGGACAACAATAGAGATGATCACGTCAGATGGCAATGCCTATTGTCAGAAAAACCAGCAGGAAAGTCAGCTGTTCGGTTATTGGTTTTAGTTGGTGAGTAAATTGCGTAACATACATCTATGCGTTACTTCTAAATAATTGAATGAGCATTATTAAAAGAATATCATAGCATGAATTATATTGTCAACTTCTAATATTCATCATATATTGTAAAATTATAATCCTTATACTGCCTAGCCAGTGTGACTGGGTCGCAGCTGAATTAAATGTAGAGAATGCGGAATCCCACCTCATAGAACCACCACGGATCATTGACACATAACGCTAAATTTTTCTGCCTAGGTGTAACAAGTGGTCATTGTTCGGCTACTTCTTCACCTTCAAGCCGGCCACAACACAACATAAATGTAGGTACCTATGTGAACTAATTATGCCAGTTATGATGCTTTCAAACGAATTATATAAACCCGTTTTTTGTGAGCTTTGAACTCACCAGCCAGTGAAAGAGCAACATAAATCCAAATTTGAAGAAAAAATGACGAGACAAGACAGGAATTCAAACAAAAAAAAAAAGCAATGCTGTGATCAGGCTGGGAGGCGTGTTTTCTGCATACCCGAAGCGGGTGAAGCCTTACAAAAAGAAAAACAGTGACTGCGCGGTAAAGGTAGGCATAATTTCTGATAGAGTGCAATGGTTTTGATTTAGTAGCAATCAGATCAACTAACAACTGTTAATTCCTTCATATGTCTAAAATACTCGAATGTCTATGAAAAAGAGTTGTTATTGATGCACGCTGTTTCACTTCTTTGATTTCGCCTAACATGTAAGCTCCCAGACGCGCGGTAAATACTATTATTATATGATGCATCTGATCGAATTATTGTATTCAGTGTCTTGGGTTATCCCACTATTACAATTTATTTATGCATCAGTAAATATTATGGCGTGAAGCGTCAAAGTGCGAATAGCAGCGCGGTAAACTTAAATTCCACACTTTAACTGGGTTGAGCCGACCTTTTCTTGTTACTCATTTCACCCTCATTAGCACCGTAACGTTTACCTACCACTTCAAATACGTGCTAACTGTAACGTTATACAAGGACGGTAAAATTCTTCTCGCTTCGAGTCACCGACATGTGGAACAGACTCCCTGATTACATCGTTGGCGCTCCGAGTATGAACGCCTTCAAGAACAGACTAGACGAAGCTATGCAGGAGCATATGTTCAGTCTTGAAATGCCTAGCAAATTACGGACCAGGCAACAAGTCCAGCAGCTATCTCAATCAATCGTCAGTTATGGAAAGATCGGGTTCCAAAGGCCGGATCGCTTGTGAATCAAGTCACGAAAAATTCAAGAATCGGCAACAGGCCATGGGCCTTCTTCTTCAGTGCCGACACTTCTATTCTATTCTAAATTAAATTAGATTCATACATCTTACATTTAACATAGCCCATCATCTTATCCGAATATAAATTAATAAATTGGACCAGTCTCAGTATGTCATTCTAGGTGGAGCCATTCTCTATTTGAAAGTTTTATTTATTTATTATATCACGCCCTTTTTCGCTCGCGGTATATGTAAGTATTGCGTACGTTGCCGAAATGCGTCGTATTTCCCGCTGAACACATCGATGAGATGCTGGAGGTTAGACGGAAAGTTCCGACCGTGTTCAAATCTTGCGTTGATCTAATTGAAAATATTGAATACTTGCTTTTGCCGGTAAAATTTCAAATGTAGAATAAATTGTTTCTCATTTTATTTCCATCTTACATTGTAGAGAATTATCATTAGTTCGTATGACTTCGCTGGCCAATCGTATGAAGATGATCTATAAAAACCCAAGAAATGACAACGGTTTTGTTGTCATTTCTTCACAATCATAATACGAGTGACCAGGTATAAGGAGAGTCGGGGGATGGAGGCTAAGTAAACGGCTTGAAATTCTTTAGCAATTCAATCAATTCAATCCATATTCCTGAATAACAATAAAGCTCTATAAATACAACAAAAATCTTGCACATATGTCATTATGTATATAAACATTATTTTCGTAGCTGCTTTGTACATTGACTCAAACGCCTTGAGATATTTTTTAATTACTGCATTATTGAAGGAGGCGCCGGTGGCCATTAAAGAGTGCCATTAAATACGCCAGTGGCTTTTCATGCAACAGTTCCAAGGAGACCTAAGGCAAGAGGCGTCATCAGTTGCGTCTGCGCCATGGAGGCCTAAGGCGCCACGCGTCATGAGCTGTGCCATGGAGACCTAAGGCGCCACGCGTCAAGAGCTACGTCTGCGCCATGGAGACCTAAGGCGCCACGCGTCAAGAGCTGCGCCTGCGCCATGGAGACCTAAGGCGCCACGCGTCAAGAGCTGTGCCTGCGCCAAAGAGACCTAAGGCGCCACGCGTCATGAGCTGCGCCTGCGCCATGGAGACCTAAGGCGCCACGCGTCATGAGCTGCGCCTGCGCCACAGCTCCCTGGAGAACTGCTCTTGCGTCACGTCCAGGTCGACCCTGAGACTCGCCAGGTGGTTGAAGTAAAACGTCAGCTCGCTGGTGACAACCCTGCGTGGGGGGGCAAGAGGTAGGTTAAGGGGGTGAACAAGATGAACGTATGTAGGGTGAAAAAATGAATGTATGCAGAGTGAACAAAATTTCACATCTCATTATACAACTAGAGACAAGACTGCAAGATGACAGTCAAGCTATTATATAATTCTAAGGCCATAGCATCAGAACTCATAATGCGCGTAGCGGTCGATTTCTCGTTTGTGTTCGGTGGGTTTAGCTTGAAAAGCCGTTGTGATTAGCTGACGGAGTTAGGAACTCGTAACATTTTTGCCTGCATGTAGTCTATTGAAGTAACATTGCTCAACTGAAGTACTTTTTCACGAGCATCTAACAGGTCCATCGCTCAGAATTATATCCATACTTAGGGATATACGTGTCCCTGCGACACCAACCAGCTCTGAGGCCCAACAGGCTGCACCCCCAGCAGCAGTAGGCGCGACCTCATCGCCTCCTGCACGGCCTCCGTCAGGCGGGCGAAGATCCTGCACACCTGAGGGTGAGAGAAAAAAGCTGTCATAGCAACTCTACACTGTGCCACTACACCTACTGCCACTACGCCAACTGTGGACGACAGAATCCCGGACGACTCATCTCACGACAGAATCCCGGACGACGCACCTCACGACAGAATCCCGAACGACTCACATCACGACAGAATCCCGGACGACTCACCTCACGACAGAATCCCGGACGACTCATCTCACGACAGAATCCCGGACGACTCACCTCACGACAGAATCCCGGACGACTCGCATCACGACAGAATCCCGGACGACTCACCTCACGACAGAATCCCGGACGACTCATAGCACGACAGAATCACGTAATCAGGATTTTAACTTCACAATTTTGATGTGTATTTTTATTGATATTATGCAATTTTTTGATATGTGATAACTAGCCACGGCGTCAGCCAGCAGGCAAGATTATCACTCAGCGTGTCAAGTCATCAGGCAGAATGAGCCCACCTGGCGGTGGGTGAGGACGGTTGCTAGCGCCTGATGCAGGCGGGTCAGCACCCTGAGGAGGGAGGTGATGGAGGGGGAGGGTACGGGAGAGCGGGCCACCCACTCCTCCAGGCAGCGTCCCGCTTGGGGGGCGGCGACCCCAACAATCTTGTCCTCAATGGCGGCGCAGTGCTCTCCTAATTCCCTCTCCAGCTGCGGAAGGGGAGGTTATGAGCAACAATGGCTGACAGGGCGAAATATTATTATTCTAATTTTACGAACTGGTACGTTACACACATCTTGTTAGTACACAGGAGCTACATGACGGTTGAATGAAGATGGTAGAATGGTGCCCTCAATAGCTGACCTGCGCGATGGTCTTGGTCGCCGTGGCGGGCTTGACGGCGCAGCGCAGGAAGCGCCGCAGAACGTGCGGCAGGAGGGCGCGCAGGAGCCGCAGACTGCGGTGCGCCAGGGCGAGGTGACGCGTGGTGACGGTGCGCAGGCCTCCGCTGCACACTGCACCGGCCTCCAGCAGCAGCCTGCGCACCGACAACATCAGTGAACCGGCAACATCAATGCACCGACAACATCAGTGAACCGACAACATCAGTGCACCGACAACATCAGTGCACCGACAACATCAGTGCACCGACAACATCAGTGCACCGACATCAGTGAACCGACAACATCAGTACACCGACAACATCAGTACAACGACATCCAAACAAAATTTCGGCAACATTCAGAAGCTACAGAGGGCCACAGTCGCCACGAGGCCTGTGACAGACGCACTATTAATCGCCCTGTCAGACGTCAGTCGGCCAACTGTGTTAAGCCGATACATAGAAACCATTTTTTAGAGCCACGATAACGAATGTCACTTTAACCCTTGACAGGCGGCATAATTTTACAACGTTATAATCTTCCAGAGTGTAGGTTAATTTATACCATTTATGCTGTATATTTCACAGTAAGTATAAAGTAACACACAGTGATACTTAACATAAATTCACAGTACAGTAGTTATATTTTACTACAATTCTAGAAGGAAGATTAATTAGGGAAGTAAGTTATTTCAGATCTAGGAGAGAAGACTTAATTGAAGACATTCATTATTCGGGTAGAATGACGGTAGATGAATTAGCTGCAGATTCTAGTACCTGCATGGATAATTTTAGTACCTGCTGTAGATTCTATTACCTGCAGGTCTCGCAGTTGTACCGCCGCAGCAGGTCAGCCAGGTTGCTGAGCAGGTTGGGGGCGGCCTGGTTGATGGTAGCGGCGCACTCAGCGTATTCAACCACGAGTCTGACCACCACCACACCCACAGCCACCACCAGGTACTCCTCCCCCTCCACCACCAGCGCCTCCCCCACAATACTCGTTGCGGTGGTGCTCGACTGGAAGGAAATATGAATATCATCATCACACCTCAAGACCTAGAGATCCCCCCAGGTACCAAGTACCCAGAGTTCGCTTAAAAACACACACCCAAGTCATGCTGCAAGCACCACCTACCTACAGCAACCAAGCGCCGTCTACCAGCGACACCGAGAAATGAACAGAGCTCACCAAAGCTCGAACCCACGACTAGCTCCTCTCATATCGGTGCCGCCATCACTGTGCATGCATGGAGTGCTTGCTGAGAGCGTGTGCAACAAAATCACATACTAGACCTGACAGCAACACAGAGACCTCATCACGGGTCACAATGAAGAGCACCTTGATAAGGGTCACATAAAAGAGCACCTTGATAACAAGTCACAATGAATAATCGCATTTTAATGACGGGCCATAGAGCATAGTACCTTGGTAACAGTTCTGGGGGCGAGACTGCTGTCGCTGTCGTCCCCCAGCGTGAAGTTGTCACCCGCTGACTCGTGTTCCTTGCGTTCGACGTCACCCAACTCAGGGGGAGATTGGAGATTCTTGTTCTGGTCGCTAATTGAAGATAAATCTGACATGTTTAAGTAAGGAGGTTTTCTTCTAAGTTCTTTATCATGTGGTATATGTAAGGCTTCTGGATCTTGCGGTAGTCGTAAGGCTTCTTGACCGTAAGCGGCTTCTTTACTTTCTGTGTCTAAACTTTTCTGAATTTCCTGTGATAATCGATCGTTGGAGTCAGACAGAGGGATATTATAGGGAGGGTTTGCGAGGTTTGTTTGAGGATTAAATGAAGTAAGCGTAGGGTTACTAGAATTATCCAGATGGTCACACGATGAAATAGCAGGGTTACAGGAGTTGTCCAGATGGTTAGACGTATTGATGGTTGGGTTGCTGGAGGCGGCCGGATGGTCAAGGCAGGAATGGTTGTTGGTGGCAGCTGTGGCGTCAACCGGAAGATCTGCAAGTGACAGCCACATTATTATCCGTACATTAATAATATTAACTTGCCTGGTAGCTGCAACATGGTTACCAGCATGGTAGCTGCGACATGGTTACTGGCATGGTAGCTGCGGCATGGTTACTGGCATGGCAGCTTCACGCAACTCACCAGCTGTGAAGAGCAACAGCTGCTGCGCACGCAACTCACCAGCTGTGAAGAGCAACAGCTGCTGCGCACGCAACTCACCAGCTGCTGCACGCAACTCACAAGCTGCTGCACGCAACTCACCAGCTGCTGCATGCAACTCACCAGCTGCTGCACGCAACTCACCAGCTGCTGCACGCAACTCACCAGCTGCTGCACGCAACTCACCAGCTGTGAAGAGCACCAGCTGCTGCTGCAATGCAGGCGGTGCACGCACCACCTGCCACGTCTCCGTGCTGAGGCTCGCACGCAGCAAGGCTTCGCGGTCTGCGTGGAAGCTTTGCACGAACGCCACGCACTGCACGAACAATTTTTCAATTATTTCCGTTACCTATGGCTTTTAAAAGAAAAGACTCACTTTTTCAAACAACATATTTACTTTTTCTTAACAAAATACACACATTATTTTAAACTCAATACAGAGCTCCTTTATTAGGCATAATAGGGGGCAAAGTTGCTAACTCGTTCGCAACATCGGTGAGAAAGAACCAATATTCTGCGTTAAAAATTTCGAGTTACATCGTCCATAGGTATTTTTCTTAGTATTTCCATACACGCAGCACACGCACGCAGCACACACGCATCGCACACACGCATCACACACACGCAGCACGCACGTGTCCCTGCAGCGCCATGCTGAGCGCCGTGCTGCTCCTGCCGCAGAGCTGCGTCGTGCTGCTGCAGAAGTCCTCCGTGATGCTGCAGAGCTGCTGCAGCTGCTGCACGGTCGCCCGCGCCAGCCCTGCGTCCCGGGACCTGCAGCAGCGTTACTTTAGAGCAAGTAATGTAGCGTTACTTTAGAGCAAGTAATGCAGCGTTACTTTAGTGCAAGTAATGAAGCGTTACTTTAGTGCCACTAATGCAGCGTTACTTTAGAGCAAGTAATGCAGCGTTACTTTAGAGCAAGTAACGCAGCGTTACTTTAGTGTCACTAATGCAGCGTTACTTTAGAGCAAGTAATGCAGCGTTACTTTAGAGCAAGTAATGCAGCGTTACTTTAGAGCAAGTAATGCAGCGTTACTTTGCTACATGGGGCCTATACTTGCAGCGTGCAAGTATCGACCCCATATCAAGGTAGAAGTGATGTATGGTAGTTATGACTTATGACCTGGTAGTTGCCAGTGTGGTACCATACCAAGACGAGAGCGTGAGAACGACTGTTGTAGTTTGGACGTTTACATGAAAACCGCCGACATAAAGAGACCTCTTGTTCCCGAGCATAATAAGGTACAGGAGGCTCGAGCATCTGGGTCGAGTAGAGCAGTCTCTGTGATGATCATGGCTCAGTCCTATCTAAACCCTAACCCTACCTCTTGTCAGTCGGCAAGCGTCGGTACAACCCTGTTAACCCTTTCTCTTGTCAGACGGCAAGGATTTTCCTGCTCCTACAAGACTTAAATTGAAACAAGCTACCAGTATTGTTCCATACTTTATCATTTATTCAGGGATGAAAGTCACGGACTGAAATTAAATTAACGTTCAATGTTAAAAAAAGTATCAATGTACAAAAATAAATGAAAGAACAAATAACCAGCATTATACATATAAGTAATTCTGCGTTACTTTAGTGCGAGACATCACCTGGCATGCAGCAGCTTGCCACATCTGTCGTGCGCGAAGTCCGCCGCTGTGGCGCGGGCGTCTGCGAGGCCACGTAGTGCGCGGTCGCACCACTCGCTAGCCACACCGCCACACGAGGCCCTGTCACACGCCACACAATATTGTGACAGGAGTATTTTGTGTGCACAATATGGAGATATAAATTATATTGTGTGGGCACAATACCACATTTAGATAGAGCATTGAGTTTATTGAAATTTTGTTCATTTCGTTTTAAAATAGAATAGTCTTCCAACTTTAATACATCCCGGCTGTAAAACTTGTTCCACCTTCAGGGCGAGTATTCTGAATTGGCGCCTTGCGATTAGTGAATAAAAAAGTTTTTTAATAAAAGATTATCTGATTATCTGTTATTGAGGTTTATAGTAGGAAAACTAACTATTTATTATTCTTTGCCCTACTTTGGTAGCTCATCTGAAACAATGTCCCGAAAATTGTATTTTTAGAATATTTCCGGATGTTCATTTGCATGTCCTGTTGGGAAATAATTTCAACATTGTTTCCTTCTTCGAATGTAAGAACGTTGCTTCTGTCAGGATGTAGTTTTACCCGGTTTATGAGTACAGTTGTGCGCGATGCGCATCAGCGTACGTCGGAATTACGTCGCGTTACTTCTACATTCTAGTTTCTGAGAACCAAGGGAGGAGATTTCGTTCAAACATGCAACTTTCTAATCCTTCTCACTCTGTTGTGCGTTTTCACTCAGAACAGTGCGACGTGAAGGTGTCTGTGAGAGATTTCAAGATACTTGATGCTGTCTGGTGACGCGGATTTAAGAATCTTGTAATCGTTGCATGCTTTCATACCAAAACCTTGTTTTAATTATAACCTCAAAAACTTTTATCCTTTTGAAGTTGTAATAGATAGGGCTTTATATTGCTTTGTCGTTTTATTGTCACTTAGGTTTTAATCTCTCACGTGTATATTTGAATCTTTACTGTTGATTGTGCTTATATTGTTTAAGGTATTTTTTAACTGATGATGGAGCTCGTCACCAGAATCGTGTTCAATGAACATATAGTGAATTTACTTGGCGGCTTCTTTGCTTTTAAATCCTTGTTGAACTTGCGATTAAGTCAGACTAATAATATACATAGTCACTAACACGTCAAGTCACGTACCATTTGACACGCGCAGGTTACCCGCAGGTTGACAGGCGAAGGTTACTCACATGTGGACGATGGAGGCAGCCTTCACTTCGGACGTGGCCTCCCCCCGGCCTGCGCTGACCTGCACCGCCTGCACCATGACCGCCACCATCGCCTGCATCACAGACAATATGAGTCACTACTTACACAGCCCATTTCAAGCAGTGTTTGAGCAGGGCCGGTGCCGTACATGGCAGGCTAGAAGCAGTGGAGCAGCAGGACAGAGGTGCAGGCTAATTAATAAACACGAAATAAATGAAATCCCTGCTGCAAGCCGGCCGCGCTTGGGCTATAGGATTAAATTCTGCTTCAAACCTACAAGTTTGCGGCCAATACGGCTCTAAACCTGCACTAAATCTGTTCTGTTGCTTCAGTCAGAGCAGACTCCTGCTCTGAATTTTTTATTTTCTGAATAAAATTTTCTGCTCTGAAAATTTTATTTTCTTTTATTTTCTCCTGCTCTGAATTTTTATTAATTTTTAATTTTTCACTGTGGCGCTGCAGGAGGCTGGTGAGGCACCTACACTGAGGCGCTGCAGGAGGCCGGTGAGGCACCTACACTGTGGCGCTGCAGGAGGCCGGTGAGGCACCTACACTGAATCAGCTGGTCCTGCTCAGCACCACAGCAGTCAACACCACAGCAATCAGCTGGTCCTGCTCAGCACCACAGCAGTCAACACCACAGCAATCAGCTTGTCCTGCTCAACACCACAGCAGGCAACACCACAGCAATTAGCTGGTCCTGCTCAGCACCACAGCAGTCAACTGGTCCTGCACCACAGCAGTTAGCACCACAGCAGGCAACACCACAGCAGGCGACATGGAACACTCGTTAATACAACAGAAGGGCGCCCCAATAACACGTGATAAAAAAGTAGCTTGAGACGACGCACCTGCTGCAGGAGGGGCGTGGGGTCATCGAAGGGGCGGTTGAGGTCCTCACTCACGTACTTGACGAAGTCTGCCCTCACCATCTTCTCGATGATACTCACCTGCTCACTCAGCTCTGCACTCACGTTCCTGGGGGAGAGCAAGGGGTTAGGGTGGCTGGGGGGCGGGGCAGAGGGGGTGTTAGAGCGGATGGGAGGGGGGGTTAGAGCGGACGGAGGGGCAGGGCCGAGGTGGTTAGAGCAGCTAGGAGGGCTGCAGAAAATGTAGGTTATTAATAAAAGGTTAGATAACGAGTCACAGATCACACATTAGGAGACAAGTTAGGTTACAGGTCAGGTTACATGTCAGACCGAAGGTTGCGGATAACAGGTCACATGTCAAGTACCACGCAATATGCCACTTCACAAGTCATGTCACGTCACATGTCTTTCACGTCACATGTCATGTCACGTCACATGTCATGTCACGTCACATGTCATGTCACGTCACATGTCATGTCACGTCAAATGTCATGTCACGTCACATGTCATGTCACGTCAAATGTCATGTCACGTCACATGTCATGTCACGTCACGTCACGTGTCATGTCAAGTCACGTCACATGTCATATCACGTTTTACATGTCATGTCACGTCACATGTCATGTTACGTCACATGTCAAGTCACATGTCATGTCACATGTCATGTCACGTCACGTCACATGTCATATCACGTCACGTCACATGTCATATCACGTTTTACATGTCATGTCACGTCACATGTCATGTTACGTCACATGTCAAGTCACATGTCATGTCACATGTCATGTCACGTCACGTCACATGTCATATCACGTCACGTGTCATGTCACGTCACATGTCAAGTCACATGTCATGTCACGTCACGTCACAGGTCATGTCACATGTCATGTCACGTCACATGTCGTGTCACGTCGCATGTCACGTCATATGTCATGTCACATGTCATGTCACGTCACATGTCACGTCATAGGTCATGTCACGTCGCATGTCACGTCATAGGTCATGTCACATACCTAAAGCTGCGGATGGTGGTGAGGTCGCTGGCGATCAACTGTGATGCTGTGGTGATGAGGTCCAGGGCTGTGATGAACTCACGCCTGCCCAGCATCACCTGGATGGTGTTCTGCACCGCACGCACCGCGCTCATCATCTCCAGCTGAGGGTGGTGAATGTCATCATTAGAGATGTAGTGATAAGCTTCATGACTTGAATAGATAAAATTTGGAGGCAAATGGATAAATTTCTCAAGTTGTGAATGCCATTTAAAGTTAGCGGGCAGGTGTTAAGGTACATAGGAATATGGTTCGAAGCGATGTAGAGCGAGCAAAGAATGTGATGTCGTGTTTGCAAGACACGATTCTCACCAGACCGTGGGACCGAGTTTGTTTACATCGTACATCGTTTGAGACATTCAACTTAGCAGAGCTTGATTCAGTTATTTACTGAAGATTCAAGAGTGATGTCTTCCATAGAGCTAATTGTCGAAATTTAAATACATTTACATGTCCTTCGCAACAGCGATTTCCTTCGAGTTATGTGCCATGAATATACTAGTTTAATTTCAAATATATAAGTGTATCATTTTTACCATCATGTACAGCATTTGCCACAGTCAATTCAGAGAGAACTTCTAACAAAAACGGGCATTTTTAACCGGCGCGAGTCACATACGCTACAGAATTTTATTGCCAATTTAACGCAGTAATAGTGAGTTCGTGATACAAGCAAGATGAGTATAGTATTAAAATAAAAGCTAAACTGCCTTCACAAAATAAGGGGAATGCAAGGCAGGACAGGGGTGCAGGACAGGGGTGCAGGACAGGGGTGCAGGACAGGGGTGCAGGACAGGGGTGCAGGACAGGAGTGCAGGACAGGGGTGCAGAATTACAGGCATATTCGAATATGCCTGTTATATGTACTTTGCACAACAGCAGAAACAAGCCTAGACTAAACACAACACTAAAATTTAACTTCCGTATTGCACTGTCCGTGAGGCCTAAAATAATACACTTGAGCAAAACCTCTCCATGGATTTACTAATTACCATTAATCGTTCATTAATAATCCAATAATACCAGATATAATATTAGAGCTATATGAAGATATATTATATTCGAGAGCAGTAATGTATACCGCAGCTGGAGCACAAGACTGTGGTTGGAGCGCAGCTGGTGGAGGTGGTCGCCCAGGTGGCTCATGGACTGGAAGAACGCGCCGCTCTTGAGGGCGATGTGCGCGCTCATGCTGCCCTCCACCGCCTCCAGGTGCTGCAGCAGCTGGGGGCATGATGGGGGTTGAGGGGTCGAGATATATGCACTCTGTTGTGTGCACGGCATGAGGCTTCACATACTTCTTACAGTGTACAGTGTAATGTTATACAGGGTCCTTACAGTGTGCAATGTAATGCTATACACGGTCCTTACAGTGTACAGTGTAACGCTTTACACGGTCCTGACAGTGTACAGTATAATACTATACGCGATCATTACACTGTTCACTGTGATGCTGTAGTGAGTACCCACCTTATCCTGAAGCTGAGTTACAGATCTGCCGTCTGATGCTGACGAGAGGGCAGCGTGAGGGGCACTAGAGGGCCCAGATACTCCTCCCGCGGCAGTGGCAGCCCCTGCCGTGGTTGCTGGGGTGTCTAGTACCCCACCAGGCACCTCGCGCCCCGCGGCGAGGTGGGGGAACACGCTGTAGAAGGTGGCAGGGTCGTCCAGGTTGAAGGAGGAGGAGAAGAACAGCGCAGGAATGTCGGCCAGGGCAGCAGCGCGACCGTGACCTGCGTTATAATGGAGTAATTTATATTTCACACAAAATTTTGTATTCAAAGTCTGCAAGTTTTGATATCAAATTTCGAAATATATTGCATTTGCCTCTGTAGTTAAGATAGCATAACTTTTTCTTTGTGTCAGGACTCAGGAGCAATGGAACATACAGGCTAAGACTTCCAGTCAACCTGTTGCTTTTTTTTCGCCGTAGCCGCATATTATTGTGACATTACAGCTATGAATTTATAACTATTGTGATATTCACAGTAACACATGTGTTGTTATAGCACAACGTTGCAGTAGCCTGCGTTGTAACGGTCATGGTGATGTACAGGGGTTGTACAAAATAAGGAAAACACCTGACATTTTGATATCGTGATTTATTAACATGTTATAAAAAATGAAAACGTGACATATTTTGATGTTTTATTGTTTATTGTTGAGGTTAATTGATATTTTATCCTTGCAGTTATTTTTTGTAAATTTTTGTGTCTATATACCTGTAACCTGTAAGTGGCAAACTTCTATGACTTTCAAAGAGACCAAATTGTTGGTACCCGTAGGGCTGGTGATAGTGCGACAGAAACTTCCCGAAATGCTTGACGTTTCTAGAAGTACTGTCCCAAAAGTAATGACTGCTTTTGAAAGAGAAGTAAAAATGTTCTCAGCAGAGCACATGTCCGGCTGAAAGTCAAAGTTGTCTGAGAGAGACCGTCGGTACCTATATCGAATTGTGAGGGACAATCGAAAGACCGCGGCTGTTAAATTTAGTGCAACCTCAATGGACACCTACAGAACACCTACAGTTTCTATCGGACACCTACAGTTTCTATCGAGACTGTCCGCCGAGAGCTGCACAGATCTGGATTCTATGAAAGAGCTGTAATTAGAAAACCTCTGGTTTCAAATACAAATGCTTCGAAGAGTTTAGAGTGGTGTAAAAACCTCCAGAATTGGTCCCTCGAGCAGTGGAAAAATGTGAATTTCTGTAACGAATCATCGTTTACCTTATTTCCAACCCCTGGCCGAGTTCACGTTTGGAAACAGCCAAAATAGTCATTTAATCCCGACTGCCTCCTCCCAACCGTGAAACATGGCGGGGAATCTGTGATGATCTGGGATTCTATTTCTTGGAACTCCAGCAGACCAATGATTTCTCTTCGTGAAAGAATCAACAGCCGTTACTATTAAGGAATTTTGGAGTGATTAGTGTAGGAATTAGTAGGGATCGCAACTCTATATGTATTAAAGATTCCAGCCAACCGCCAGAGGGCGGGTCTACACGATAGAGCGGGACTATATAAAGAAGAGTCGCTGTAGTGAGAGTTAGTTCGCGCGCAGAGCCAGTCGAGCGCGAAGTTAGTTCAAGCGCAGTCAGTCGAGCGCGGAGGATCTTGCAGCCCGTCGTTTGGAACAGTAAAGTTTAGGAAACCAATTGTGGTGTTCGATTCACGTCGTCAAATTCAGACAACATCCGTTGGTCACGCTGTATATCTCCAAAGGAAAACAACGACGAAGAAACAAGGATTCGACTTAGTGAAATCCGAGGAGCTACGACCAAATATCCGCTGAGATAGAATTTTACTCCGGAATATCCGCATCTACAGAAGTAAGGATTCGACATAGTGAAATCCGAGGAGCTACGACCAAATACCCGCTGAGATAGAATTTTATTCCGGAATAACAGCATCTACAGAAGTAACCAAGACCGCATCCCCCCAAGAACAACGCACACCAGGGAACGCGGACCGAAGAATTTCGATTGCAAATCTTCGCACGACTTTAGCCTTGGAAAACTCGCCGTCCGCTGCGCCGTGGCTCCACCGTCATCCACAAATTCAGGTGATGTAATTCGGGAAATATTTAGAAACTGTCTTATTTTCCGTAGAGACGGGGATCATAGAAATGAAATAACTGGGTAGATATTGGTCGGGATAGGATCCTTCTTTTGAAACAATACTATTTCTGTGTAATCCTGTCTGAGCTTCATATTTTTGTGTGACAGTATTGGACTATATTCCGTGTAAATCGTGTCTTAGCTTCGCCGACTTGCCGATTTGTATTAGCCTAGGTTTCTATAATATAGTAACTATAGAATTTATCTCCATGTGTTGTCATTACCCCTTTGCTAACTAGTTCGCTGTTTTGACATGAGAACCGTAAATCATCGCGCCAGTTACCGCCAATCTGGCCAAAGCAACCTGACCAATTTCTAATTTGTATCAGAGGATAGAAAATCGATGAGTTAACTCAATAAATTTAGGACGAAAAATTGTATTTCAGATTTAATCTCGTGGCAAAGTAGAAGTGATTAAAGATCTCGAAAAGAGGTAAATAATAGTGAGAATTAGGAAGTCTTAGACTTTATAACAAAACTATTCACAAGGCAAACTATTCAGGAGGACCAAGTTCATCCAATTGTTCAAGCACTGTTTCCGGAGGGGAACGCCATCTTTCAAGATGATAATGCCCCGATCCATACACCTGTAATTGTTAAAAAAAGGCACGAAGAACATTTTAATGAAGTTGAGCATCTCATTTGGCCACAACAATCACCAGATCAGAATATTATCGAACATTTATGGTAAATTTTAGAGATGCAAGTCAGAAGTCGCATTCGTCTTTAAAATGCAAGTCCCGCCGCCATCGTCTAATAATAGAGTTGGAAAGAGTTTGAACTGAAGAATGGGTTAAAATTCCTTTAGAAACGATTCAATATTTGTGTGAATCAATACTTCGGAGAATTGAGGCAGTAATTGCCACAAAAGTTGAAGGTACACCATAATAAAATATATTTTGTGTACCGGTATTTCTCAGTAGTTTCCCTTTTTAGCGCATTTTCTCATTTATGGAAAAAATGCCCTATTATGCTCGTCATGTCCGTCCGTCCGTCTGTCTGTCCGTTCGTCACGACTTCGCCTTTTCGTCGACGAGAAAATGCGCTCTCTGTCACTCACTGCAGTGAGTACTGAGTTATATTTTTTGTCTAACCCTTTTATATAAGCGGTACTATAGTTATTGCGACAACACGTGACTACGGCTGTGATCATCTCGCTTCTTGACACAATCCACCTCTACATCCCCCAGCCTCCTCCCTCCCTTCGAGCTACTACACGAAACCTGAGAAGACTATAACCTCTCCTTTGACCCACATCTTCTTTGCATTTAGCGGTTAAAATCCCGGAGCAGCCCCAGCTTCTCTACCTCGTACCATCTACATGGATGATAAGGAGACCACAAGCAGGGATTTTTTCTTCCTGCACCACAGAGACCGCTGAAAACAACAGCCTCCTGGCTGCCCAAACAGTTAGGGTGGGGGGCGATCAATAAGCGAAGACCTCAAATATTAGCATATCTTTGCCTGCCCTCCAGTCACCCAGGGCTCAACCCATCACCTCTTAGAAGGACGGCACAGAAGATATGGAGGGCTATATGGCATCCCTCTCTTGCATGCGTGAATGTAGCGCCACGAACAACAATAATAAAACAAGAAGCATAGGTTACAATATGAGGGTTTTCACGGACCAGCAGGATTGAGAGGATCTGCAGTGAGGGAGCCTGTAGCATGAGGGTCAGAGTGTAGAGGTTCTGCAGGCTTCTGCTGCAGGTTTCTGGAGCGCCTTCGCATGCGTCGGTTATATGATTCCACATGGCGGGGCAACACCTGCAACAATAATGTTAAATATTAACTGGGCAACAAGAATGCGGCAACACGAACGATGCAATATGAATGCGGCAACTTGAACCTAACAACAGGTACGTAGATGATGCCAAAGACATTCTCACAGTACAACAGCCAGTCCATCACAGCAGCGACACATTCGCTGTCACAACACGCTGTTGGGGGCGTGATCATCATGAACAACATGAAATAAAACTATCAAGGAAAGCGCCCACTTGGATAATAAAACATTGCCATTAGCTCCCCAAGCAGCAGACATACCCGTGGCCCAGCTTAGGGATAAACCTGCCACCACTCCTCCCCCAGCAACACAGGGAACACTCACCTGAGGGAGGGCCACGTGCTGGGGTATGCTGCGCAGCTCCACGAACGTCTCTCCCCAAGTCTTAGTGAAGAAATCGCGCTGGAGACATAGAAAACCGCGTCACAATGGCGTGACGGCGTCACAATGGCGTGACGGCGTCACAATGGCATGACGGCGTCACAATGGCATGACGGCGTCACAATGGCATGACGGCGTCACAATGGCATGACGGCGTCACAATGGCATTACACTTCAAAATAACGTCATTAGTGGCAGGCAGATCCTATCAACTCCAATACTGGAAATTAGTCATTTAAATCCACAAATGGCAGGTATAGGTAATATATTGTCCCTTTGAACATAACACTGAACAAAATCTAAAAAAATATAACTCAGTACTCACTGCAGTGAGTGACAGAGAGCGCATTTTCTCGTCGACGAAAACATGAAGTCACGGACGGACAGACGGACGGACATGGCGAGCACCATAGGGCCTTTTTTTCCATAAATGAGAATATGCGCTATCAACATGACATAGGTGAGAACAAAATTAATTTGACGGGCTAAATCCCCAGCATGGGGTTGTGCGGATCTCACCATCATGCCCTTCTTGGGGTCGTGCAGAACAGAGGGCAGGTTCTGCACGGCAGAGTAGATGCCCCAAGCCTCCTCAGTGTGCAGAGCTGTGGTGCTGCCGTGGCCAGAGCTGCAGTGCACCGAACTGCCTGTGTATGACATCAATGGCTTGTCATCGTCATACCGTCAATGGTATGTATGATGCCATCATACCGTCAATAGTATGATAGCGTCAATGGTATGTATGATTAATGCACAATTTAAGTTGAGAGCTGTACAGTCTGTGAGAACTGTAACATAATGCTGAATACATTACCAGTGTTAGAGAGCTGTACAGTCTGTGAGAGCTGTAACATAATGCTGAATACATTACCAGTGTTAGAGAGCTGTACAGCGTGAGACTGTGAGAGTGCTGTAACAATGCTGAATACATTACCAGTGCTAGAGAGCTGTACAGTGTGTGAATGCTGTCTCATGACATGCTGATCGTAGTCACTAGCATTCACTCCCTCAAGGGGCAGGGATGGGCAGACGCCATGCGTGCCATAGAGACACACAAAACTTCCGCCCTCAACTTTGCAGTGATGTTGCCTAAGATGCCTGCACAATAGGTACGTATGTCTAATTAAAGAATCTGATGAAAAGACTGAATTCTGAGAGTATCAAATTTATGCTCAACAATTCAGGAGTCTAAGAACGAGTAATCCCAAACATAGTTTTATTGGAAAAAGCTGAATAACATCTTCATCCAATGCTCTAGTTCAGGCAAACAGTGCCAACTTCTTTCAGGTAAACCTGATAATAACGTAGTTCATAAAATCACAAGGTGTTATATATAAGTGAGATAATGGTTTGCAATAAAGTTCAATATTACTGTACCTACCTATATGAAGTTTTACATATATATGAAGTCTATCAACAGAAAATACCATAGCTTGTAAACTAATTTAAAAATTATTTTTAGCCAAACATGAAGTAAAAATTTTGATGAATCCTGGATGAATCATCTAGGTATATAATCAAGTGCTAAACTCACCGCTTAAAGGATGTATACTGCACAAAGTCTGGCTGGGATGAACAAATTGTGCACTGAAACTGGCTTTGCAGCCTGTCAGTTTCTGCATGATCTTTTAGAGCCAACATTTGTGATTGCTTTAAATTAGCGGAATGGTGAGGCTGACTAGCAGATTGTGATAGAGACATAACTCATCTACAGATATGCATCTCTCTGTCTCAGTCAATTCAACAGATGGAAAATTAAAAAACCAAGTAACAGATCTAAGGACCTAATCATTTGTAAGCCAGATAAGGGCAAGGGCGTTGTATTAGTTGACCGTAATCGTTACAACAGTAGCCTTTCTACTCTCATTACAGACCCTTCCAAATTTATCGAAATTACGGATCCAATTGCTAAAACAATTTTGAAGATTGAGGACAAAATTAATAATTTCCTAAGAAAACTTAAAGATTCTGCTGCACTTTCATCTGAAAATTACTTCAAACTTTATGCATCTGGCTCTTCCCCTGGTATTTTGTATGGCTTACCCAAAATTCATAAACCAGATTTCGCATTAAAATTTCAATTCCGCCCAATCTTTGCTGCTTACAATACTCCGAGCTTCAAACTTGCTAACATAATTTTTTCTTCTTAACTGGAGCCTTTGCTAACTGAGGTTCTACTGTAAATGCGCTTTTAGGGGTGTCCCGAATAGCCCCGCCGTGCGGAAATGACCGCCATTTTTTTGTGGAATGAGATAGGCAAAATCTGTCAATTACGTTTTCAAGCCAACACCTGGGTAAAACTTTTATGTAAGTAAAATTTTTTAATGCAGTGAATATTTTTTGACTACAGACCTTAGCAGAAGTAACTCTTCAAAATATCGTTTTTCACCATTTTTTGCAGGAATTTTTCAAAGCTAGTGAATGTAGTATTTTTGAACTTCCTTTATACTACATAGATAGGAAAAATGTTGACGTTTACGCCACTATATTTAGTTTTGCAATATTCCAATTAGTTTAGCTACTAAAACAGTTTTACGCCGTGTCGGAGGACTGTCCCGAGTTTTCTGCCCGTCCCGAGTAACCCTGGTTGACGGTATGTTCTGTCATTGTGTCATGTAAAATTGGTGACCATATTCGGTGCACATCGCTCAGGGTTGAAATTCATCATTATTCCTGGCGATGTGTACCAAATGAAGCCATGCTTGTTGTGGCTCATATTGGCTCACGTCACCTATCGTAATCACTTCTAATACTAGTATGGGCAATGTGTACCAAGCAAAGACATGCATCTATGGCTCATATTGCCGAAAAACGCCTAAAGTTATCACTTTTATTACTGTGAGTGATGCGCGCAAGTAACCTACATTAGTTTTGAGTCATAATTGCATACATAATGACTTCCGGTATCTCTTAGCTTTTTGTGAACGATGTATATTACGCATGTAAATTACTATGGAAAGAGATTGGTGTCCAGGTTTTCATAATTCTAAATAAAATTGAGGGTATTTACATTGTTAGTTCAGTTATATTTACCTTATAGAGATCATTTATCGTATATATTGTCTTGAGCTTCTGTTACAAGCAGCATCTCAGAGAGAGTAAAATCAGGATGTAGATATCAAATTATCAAGTGGGAAAGAGGACAGCCCACTTTCATTGAACCAACTAGAACTAAAACCAGGATGTGCTGCCATGAATGCTAAAACATGCTCTCAGCAAATGAGGGAATTGCCATAGCAAAGGTGAAGCTTGAAGGGTAAAAAATATTTTGATGACTGTGAAGGAAAACAATAGATGTGCGATAATTTTTTTCAATCACGTATGCAAGATAATGATGTTGGCAACACCCAATGTTGTAATTTCAGATCGATAAAAAAAATATTTTATTTTGTTTTCATGCAAAGATAGATATAGGTATATATATTGCTTTCATCAATGGACACTAATTTTGTAGTTTTTGTATTTCTTGCATATGAAAATAAGACTATTTCTTTAAGCAGTAGTTGACTTCAGAGCATTCCCTAACATGCCTATTGAATGGTATCATTGAAATTTTAAATTTTAAAGAGTAATAAGATTTTATAAAAATATGTATTTTTCATTGGCATGTACCACATGTGCACACATCGCAATTCTGAAAAGTACAGCCCGCCGCCGCGCGTGTACATATATGGCGCACATCGCGGCCAACTTGTTAACAATACATAGTTTTTAGTCACAATTTTGTAAAAATTCATATGTATATAGGTATATCCCAGTTTGAAACTTAGGTACGGTACTTGTACAGTTCCATGGTCAGGAAGATGTGCAAGGTGCGCGACTGCGCGGGAATTTATTTTGTCATTTTAACGACCTGCGCGGTGCGCCGTACTACGTTGGTAAAAAAATGTGCCGTGCCCAGTGTACTTTAGAAAGCTAAAATAGTTCTACTATTTTAGTTGACAATATACGCGAGTATATTGACTACGCGAGTCAAACTGACAATAATAAAATGTAAGACATGTCCGGGTTACTTCTGACTCTTCCGGTTGTCCGCCTTGTCGGATACGGAACGTACGGTAATCGTAAACTGCGGCTGTTATACATACGAAATGCAAACAGACGGTGTTCAGTGTTGCCATGACTTAGGAGAAAATTTTGCCGGGATTGCGCCGGATCCCGGGATTGCGCCGGGAAATCGCCGGGATTGCGCGAACACGTGCATGAAGATAATCAATTTTCATTACATTGCGCCAACTGTGCACAGCAATAGCTTAAAAAAAGTGAAAATGCGCGGGAAAATTAACCAAAAACATACATCATCCTGAGCATAGTGGCAAAGCAGAGAGTTTTTTAGACTCTACCTCAAGCATGGTGGCAATCCATAGGTTATTCAAAAGAACCTGTTCTTATGTCATTTTGAACCGATCAACGCTTTTTTACGGACCGATCGTAAAACACACCTTCTGTGACCTTCACCGGCAAAAGCTTTTGCACTTCTGAAGAAAGTCAGCTGACAGCTACACTGGCCGTGGGGCGTGGTGGACCGAATTTGAACAATAATTCCCTGCCACCATGACCTCAAGTTCATTTTTGAGTCCTATAAGTAGACCAGTAAAGTATCCTGGATACCAGCATTATAATACTTAAGAAATTGGTTCAAATCTTGAGTAAATGAGGAAATTAAAAATGAACTGATTCTAAAAAAGCTCTGGTTTGCCACTATGATCCTGAGTGTGGGTACAGTTGTACTTTTGGCAACCAATTTCACAAGCTTAGTAGTTCTGGCAACAAATTTGTAACAACTTATTTTATGATGTTTTCAGAAGCAATCAGTGCAGGATGTTTTCAGTGTACCTAAAACCTGATCTAATCTAAGGACAGATTGGACCATTGGAGTTGGACAGTGGGTGGCAATTGGTCAACCCACTGCAGAAACAGTCAATAAATCAACCATGCAGAAACAAGTGAAATGAATAATTATTAAAACTTCTAGTCAAAAATCAAAAGAAACTTATTGGCAGTTGGAAGTTGGAACCACCTAACTGACTAGGTAAGCTAGCAAATACTATTGTTATTGACATTTGGCACTAAACTAGCTCGTTTGCCAAATGCAAATAACAACATGTCAATATTTATTCCTCGTAATTGGCTTATAAATTACAGCCTGGCGCCAGCACGTGACAATACAGTATGAGTTCAGAAATGTGGCAAAAAAGAGAGTGAGTTAAAAACGTAGGTACGACAAGACAAGAGACTAGGTAGCCTAGTACCGTAGTCACAGGACTCAGAGGTGAGAGGACTGATCTCTGATGATGAATGAATAAATGTTTACATAAACAGTGAGTATGATTCTTAACCAAGAGAGACAAAAGGCCGCTATCTTTCAGAAAAATTATGGAGAAAATTAAATTTGCACGAATTACAATTACTAAATTATTTCAAATGATCTACCGTACGGCGTACAGCAGACTGACAGCTGCGGACACGCAAACCATCATCAGTCCAATTTTCAACTATCCGCAGTACAGGATAAATTGTGAATTTTTGAAATTGATCGCTGTCAAGGACGCATTTTACATTCAATTAATTAACTGAACTGGTATGGAGGATGAATGTAAAAACCATGAGTATACTTGTAGAATTTAATGAGGTCCAACACAAACATCAATAACAGAGGCTTGGACGCTTCCTAATTTTTAATTTTCCTTCTTGGACTTGCCCTTCATGCCACGAATTATCATTGCGCACGACGGCAACAAACAACTGCAACTGGGAAACAAACAAACCTGAAAACAAACTAAAAAAAGACTTGCGTGAGGAAGGTTCAGCCCATTATTCAACAACATACAGTAGAAATAATTATTTCCATGTTCCTAGGCCACATCTGGCATGTCGCAAATTCAAATTTATAACATAGCAGAATTTCTTACAGCTTACTGGGGTTTCGAATCCGCAATTAACTACTCTAGTCATGCTCCTATATATATACAGTATACTATATATACCCGAGGAAACGCATTTGCCTGACAACTGCGTAAATGCTGCGAAAATTTACCCTGGCTCGGTTCAGTCGTTTGTTTTTACTTCCTAAAACTGTTTTAATTTAGGGTAACATGGGGGCCCGTTCCCCCCCCCCCCTTTTTAAATTAAATTTTAGATGCAGTTTTAATTGATACGAGTTAGTTCTTTGTTTTGTTTAAATTTACAACTAATGAGGAATGTATGATGCGAATAACACGCCCATAGAGTTATTCAATTTTTAATGAACCACTAATTTGTAAAAAGCGCCTAAATAGGCCCACTGCCCCACACCTGGGGTAATTGGCCCATGGGCTTGGGCAAGGCGCCCCCCTGGCCCCTTTACCACAATTGCATATTTTTGTTTAAAATGATAAAACAATACTTTGAAGTTCAAAATACGAAAAATGTAATAAAAAATATTACATTCATTCATTTATTATCAACTTAAAAAAATCAACTCCTTGACTTGAAGAAAAAATATATTCTTGGCTTAAAAAATCTATTACTGACGTGAAAAAAATATTTCCTTAATATAAAAATATATATCCTTAACTTGAAAAATATATACTCACCATAAAAAATTCATCCTTGACAGAAAAAAAGTATCCTTGATTGGAAAATATACATTTACTTGATCAGAAAAACTTCGTTCCATTTTCGTCCATAATCCAGATATTATGTGCTGGGAATGCGCACTTAATCGTTATTTCAGCCAACACAGTAAAAACTAATCAACTTTTGGCTTATTGTTGTTAGCTGAAATCAACTTTTGGTGAGGCATAAGCCAATA